ATGTTTATTTGGTACCACTTTCACACATACACACACACACATACACACACACACACACACACACACACACACACACACACACATCTCAAACACAATATCTTCCATTTAGTGGGACTGTAAGTCACATGACTGTCAAGAAAACTGACCTTGGTCCATTGGTGCTAAGGATCACCAAAGACTCACAACGGATAACCAGTGAATTCCTCTGTCCCCTCTGTGCTATGTAATCACAGATGAAGCACCTCCTTCAGAATAGTTGGATATCTGGATGTCATTTGACATGAGAGTCATAACTCTCTTGGTATTATTGTTGCTAAGTTGCTGAGCAAGAGCCAATCATGGATTCATTCTCTTTCTCACACTGCTATGATTAGCCAAAATTTTTTCAAATGTGATCTCCTCTCTAGCAGTTAGATAAGCATAAGCACCAAATGCTCAGATCCGTCAATAGCAGGAAAAAAAAAAAAAAAAGACCAGTTACACAATAGCCTTTGTTTAAGAACCACTCAAAGAGAATTTAGAATTGCAAGGATGAACATTCCTGTTACCTGCATGGCGAGATGTTGGTCTCTAAGTACCTTCTCTTCCTGACATTTGAACACAGATGTCATACCAAGATCACTTCCTTTCCAATGCTTGCCGAAGCAAAAGAAAATATTTGAAGAAGCTGATACACTAACGTGGACAATGCAGCATATCTTGCTCTACAGTTGACTGGCATGAATTTCATTACACTATAGTACATTCTTACTGTTAACAAAAAAAAAAAAAAGTTCAGTCTCTTGTTTCTGTAAATCCTGAGATACAGAGCCCACAGAGTAAAAGACTATTCGCAGGTTTGAGAAGTGGTGGAGTATGTTGTTTGCACACAGGAATAACAGGCGTCATCTGTGGGTATTCTACTCACAGCCTTTGTCATTCACTTTTCTGTCCTACCACCTCACTCATCATGTTTCTCACAGCCTCAACTCCTTCCAAAAACAAACCAGAGACATACCCAGCAAGACCCAGCCCTCAAAACCTCTGCACCTACTTCAGACGATGGCATACCAACCTAACTTTTCCTGTGCTCACTGATAGAACCATCATTGAATCAGAAACATCCAAGACATAAACAAGTATGGTGCTAAGAAGTATAAGCTTAAGGAACTTAAGAATACCTAATACCCAGTTAAATGTCAGATTAAGTAGGAGGTTCAAATATTAGAATTAAAAAAACATCCCAAGGTAATAGTGAAGCATAGGCAATGCTTATGGCCCCAAACTGACCATGACACATAACCCTGGGGACCATTGCCAAATAAGTAACAGTAGGCTATCTGAAAGCAATGGCTTTTCTGGCAGAAATCATTGAGATAGAATTACAAAGTGTTGTACTTGGCACAAAACCTGATAGTTTCTAAATAGGGCCCCTAAATCTTTGCTACTTCTCCCATGGTGAAGTAGAGTAACTGTCCTCTTACTTTGAATATTAGACTTGTGAGTATTTCATCCACAAAAAGTATTACAGAATGGATGCTAAGTTAAGTCTCAGGATCCATCACAAAAGGATATTCCACTTTGCTAGCTGGGACATTCATTTTGGCTCACAGGAGCAGAAGTCCCACTACCTTGACCTCCCATATTGCAGATAGATCAGATACACTGAGAAGACATACAGAGACTGGCTCAGCCTATTTCCCAGACAACACTAACCACCAACTGATTATCCAAGAGTTGGTAGATTATTTTTGAATGCTGGAACTTAAATGCATTGATTTTAATACATATGTTGAAATAATGCCTCTAATTTTTACAGGAAACATTTATTTTCTGGTCTCTCTTCAAATTGGAGCTCATTCTCACTTTAACAATCAGTAAAATTACAAGTGTCTGAAGCTACTTATTACTTGCGTTTTTCTTGATTGAAGACTTTTACTTTGAAAATGCTAAGAAAAGGACTGTAACGTACAACTTATCTCAAAGAAACAATCACAAGTATTTTGAAATAGCAGAGAAATCAATGGGATTTAGTACTTTGAATGGTGGTCTGCAGAGCTTAATAGAGTTCCTCATAAAAGGTATATTCATGTCATCAACTCTGGTACCTATGAATATTACCTCACTTAGGAAAAGAGTCTTTGTAGATATAATTAGATTTTTTTTTGGGGGGGGGGTCCGGTTGTGGGGCCTGAACTCTGGGCCTAGGCACTGTCCCTCAGCTCTTCAGCTCAAGGCGAGCACTCTACCACTTGAGCCACAGTGCCACTTCTGGCTCTTTTCTTTTTGCTTATGTGGTGCTGAGGAATCGAACCCAGGGCCTCAGGCATGCAAGGCAAGCGGTCTACCACTGAGCCACCTTCCCAGCCCTAATTAAAGATTTTTAAATTAGGACATCCTAGGTTAGGTTATCTATGTGGAACTTTAATGACAAGTGTCTTTATGTGTGTATGGGGGTGTGGGGTGTGTGTGTGTGTGTGTGTGTGTGTGTGACAGTCCTGGGGTTTGATCTCAGGGACTGGGTGCCATCTCTGAACCTTTTTGCTTAAGGTAGTCCCAATTACTTGAGCCACAGTTCTCCTTCAGGCTTTTTGGTGTTTAAATGGAGACTTATCTCCATTTAAGTCTGTGAGATAAGTCTCACAGATTTTCCTGCCTGAGCTGGTTTAGAATGGTAATCTCAGATCTCACCCTCCTGTGTAGCTAGGATTACAGGCTTGAGCCAGGTAGCTTCTGGCTAGACAAAGTGTCCTTTTAAACTACATACCAGGAAACCAGGCGCCAGTGGCTCACGCCTGTAATCCTAGCACTCAGGAGGCTGACATCTGAGGATCATGGTTCAAAGCTAGCCTAGGCAGGAAAGTCTATTAAGACTCTTATCTCCAATTAACCACCAGAAAACTGGAAGTGGCTCAAGTTAGAGTACACTGAAGAGCTGAGAGACGGTGCCCAGACCCAGAATTGAAGCCCCACGACTGACCCTCCCCCCCAAAAATGGATATACACCAGAGACATTTAATGAACAAAAGTGGTAATGTGACCATAGAGGCCAAGAATAGAGTAATACCACCACAAGCCAAGCACTTCTGACAGCCATTAGAAGCCTGAGGTTAAGAACAGATTTCCCATTAGATCTCTAGAAGGACCATTGCCCAGCCAACACCTTGATTTCTTTTTGATGTATGGCCTCTAGAACTGTGGAAGAAATTTCTGGTTTTCTAAGCCAATCCATTTGTGGTCATTTGTTACAGCAGCCACAGGAAATTAATACAGTTGAAAATATTTCTTCATCTCCATTATCTTGTCCCTTATAGGAAAAAAAAATTACTAAGATTGCCATTTTACTCTTTATGCTTCTCCCAACAATATAGATTTCAGTTCAGATTATTAGTTATATTATAGAAATGTCAATTTTCTTCATGTTGAATGCTTTGCATGTTTTTTTTCTTTTTTGTCTGTCGTGGATGCTTTTGTCATTTTAATGCATGGTCTAGTGGTGATTGTTAGGCTGTATTTAGAGTAAAAATAGAAGAAGTTGATTGAACATTCTAAATTCAGCTGACAGTCCTTTGACATATTTGAGGTGTGAGGGTGAAGGGTGGAGAATGACAACTTTATAGTAAAGTTATTAGCAGGAAAATGGTGTGGACATGCTTTAAAGTGCCTGTCATTTTCAGTGGGGGGAAGGGGGGTTGGGGGCAGTCACCCTACCAAACACCTCCTGAAAACTGTGCAGATCATTCCAAATGAGCGAAGTATGAGAAACTGTCATAGTCAAGAGAATCCTAAAGACACAAGAAGACCAAAAGTAATGTATCCCAGGGGAACTCCAGGGAGAAGAGTCAGGTAAAAATTCACAAAAAAAAGTGAAATAAAAGAATGAGTTCAGTTAAGAATATACAAATTCTGGCCCATGCATGACCATACATGCCCACTACTAACCTATTAGGTCTTAGGAACTCTTTGAAGTATGTTTGCAAATCTAAAACAACAACATAAAAGTCTATGTAAGGGCAAAAAACCCCAAAAACAACAATACAAAACAAACCCAAACCACACCTCACCCCTGTCTCTACCCACATTCATATTCGACATAAGGGAAGTGAAATGCTTCCTACAAATCAACAGTGTTGAAATTGTCCTGATGGCTTTTCAGAAAGCTGGTCCAAATGGCACACAAGGTGGTTAAAGCAGCTTCTCCCGCAATCCTTCGAGATGTGCTGTAAAGGGAACACCTAGGAACCCTTCGAGAATTGAAGAAGCCAAAGGAAAGAGTGAGATGAAGGAGAAGCCAAAGGGAAGAGTGAGATGAGGGAGACCCCGTGTCTGCGTCTCCAGTCCAGACTAGCTTCCTGGGCTAACCGGCGTGCCATCTGCTCGCCGTCCGGGCGGCCCACGTGTCCCCCCACCCCCCGCGTTTTGGTGTTAGCAAGTTCGACCCCAGCAAGTCTGGGCAGCGCCGCTGCGGTGCAGGTTGCTGGGAGGGGAGAGGAGGGGCGGCCGCAGCCTCCAAAGTGTGCAGATCGTTTTTCCAAGCTCCATCTGCTCCCTCCGTCCCGGGGGCGGGAGACACCGCCGCAGCCAGCCAGCCAGCCGCGGGGACCAGCGCGGGTCTTCTCTGCATAACAAAAGAGCCCACCCCTCCTCCTCCCGCCGCCCCGCCTCGGTTTCCCGCGGCCCGGGGCTGGCGGTCCGTTGCAGGAATTGGCTCCCAGGCCGAGCTTTCCAGGTACCCGGAAGGGGGAAGGGGCCGTGGCGGCAACAATTGGGCGGGTGCGGGCGAAACGCGCGACTCCGAGCGCCAAGACGGCGAGGGGTGGGGTCGGCAGGGGCGGGGAGCCCGCAGCATACTGCCACGCGATTGGTCAGGGCCGCCCCGCCGGCTGCCGCTGATTGGCGCATGCTTAAATTCAGTCTCAAGGCGCCAGACGAGGTGTTTTAGCGGGGGACTGAGGTCCGGGCTGGAGTCGCGCTAGGCGGGTTCGCGGGGCACCGGTGCTATCCAGACATCGAGGGGTCTCCACCAGCGCAAGGCACGCGGATCGGGGGGCCCTGTGTGCGCCTCGCCTGGCCCTCCTGATGTCGTTGCCCGACTGCTGACACCCGCACCCCCATCCCGCCTCGGCGTGGTCTGCGGAGATTCCAGCAGAGGCCGAGAGCTTCCTTCGCACCGCGGGAGTAAGCGAGCGTGGGGCCCGGGCGCCCCGGGGGAGGCGGGAATCGGGGGAGAGGGGTTCCCTCGCGCCCCGGCTGCCAGCCTGCCCACCCCTCTCCCTCCCGGCTGGCGGGAGATTGGAGGATCCTACTAGCGGGACCTGTGGGGCTGCGCCTGCTTCAGTGCTCACAATGATCCCCCACAATTTGGGGGTTCACGGAAAGAGTTCATCCCCTTAGGTCTGCTGGGGTGCCTGGGCCCGGTGGGTTTGATCTGGGGATCGGGTTTCCTCCTCCACCCCCTGATTCAAAACCCCCTTCAAAGCCCAAATTCCTTCCAGTTCTTTGCGCCAAAATTAACTGACCTGGGAGACCTCTGCACTTTCTGACAGATTTGCCCAGCACCCTACCCTCCTGACTTTTAATTATCGCTTTTCATTTAAAAAGAAAAAGACTGGTTTTTGTCGACTTCCTCCCAGATTTTCCGTAATTACGTATTTTACATGTTTGTATTTGTTTCTGAGAGTTTGAAAGTGGATTAGAAAGTTTTGGCATTCCTGGAAATTCCCAGGCCCATGGTTAGGGAAAGGGGAAAGTTCATGTTCATGAACACATAATGCTAAGTATTCTTGCTGATACAAGGAATACCTAAGTATGAAATTGTTTTCTAAATACAATAATCATACATTACAGATGGAGGTAAATTGTTTAACACTGAAAGACTGGATCAACCCCTAAACGTCTAAATGTAAAATCGTTTTCTAATATAATTGGACATTACAGATGGAGGTAAATTGTTTAACACTAAAAGACCTGATCAACCCCAGGCAGACCAGACTCGATTTTGCCACTGAAGATGGGGAAAGTGCACACAAGGTAAGCTCAGAAGTTCCTTCATCTCTCACATGCCAAACATAGTGATATGTGGTCCAATAGTTTCCAGCATGTCACTTGTATTTGTCTTCAAAGCGTTTTAATTTTAATGAACATTATAGAAAAATACTTTCTATTAAAAAAAAATGAAGCCATTATTGTTTTAGTTCTACTCCCAGTCTTGCGATGGAAAGGCCAGGTTAGATGTAGTGTTGGAACCAACTTTATAGAAACCAAACCTGCTGGGCACAACCAAAAATTTGTAATAGATTGCCTTGTCAAGGGTAGTAGAGCCAAAAGCTTTGTCAGAATGTTAACCTCAGTTCCTAGGGAAAATAGACCTGTAGTAATAAATGCTGGCTTATTAAAATGCCAAAGAGTGGTATCCTGTATGGACTGTCCCATTCACCCAAGATTGTGGCTTTTGCCTAACATCCAGGGAGACAGTACCTGGTTACCACCATCCTGCCCTCTGAATATTTTACAGTGCTATCCCTAGTTTTTGCCTGAGCCATTCCCTCTTTGTATTGCTTAGGATTTGCAAGAGTGATATCTTCAAGAAGAATTACAAAATAAACTGGTCATAGCAATATCTAAACTATCATCTTGCCCACATGAGCACAGCTGATGTACAAATCAGCACATGCCCTACCAAGAAGGCGTAATAAATAGCTTATTAGCAGTGAACATCTGAGGGTTTTCTAGGCAGCAGAAAATAGGTAAGCCAAGGCTAGTTTCAGAAACTTTGAATATAAACCTGTGAGGAGCAGATTGAATCTCTTGGGGCTTCTGGTCTTTTAAGGTTAGCATCAACAGTGAACTTGCCTGTTTGCACCTGTTATTTAGGCCTTTAAAGAACACTTGACACTTGTGTTTTTGGATAGGTATGAAACTACATATTATGCCAGCATTTAATTTGTTTTTGTTAGGAAAATCTACCAAAACATTATTGTTTTAAAGAGGACTGTGTGTGTGTGTGTCTGTGTGTCTCCTGGGGCTTGAGGGCCTGGGGCTCTGTCTTTTGCTCAAGGCTAGCACCTTACCATTTGATCCAGAGCTTTACTTCCGGATTTTTTGTTAATTTAGTGGAGATAAGAATCTTTAAGAACTTTCCTGCCTGGACTGGCTTTAAACTGTGATCCTCAGATCTCAGTCTCCTGAGTAGCTGGGATTACAGGCATGATCTGCACAAACACCCAGCCTCAAGAGGACTTTTTAAAATACATAAGACATAGGAAGACAGAAATGTCTAGGTCTTACATACTCAGAATTTTGGTGTTAGGAGTTTCAGAGCAAAACTTCTTATTTTCCTTTATAGTCTGGATCGAATATCTATATATTTATACAAAGTTTATAAGCTTACTATGTTTCTGTCCTGAGTTAGTGACAGTTGCCATGTATCTTCAACAAGGGCCCCCTGTGCTATCCAAGCTTGCCTCAGTAAGTGTTGTGTCCAGTCCAGGTTTTACATTTTAATGCTCAAAAGTTATTGGAAAAGTCGTTAAAATATTAGAGTAGCTTGCATGAGCTTCCATCATAGAGAGAGGTAAGAAATGGAAACAGAGTTCTTCTGATAAAATACTAGGAGGGGCTTTGGTGTCACTTTTCCACATTGTTATAAATTTAAACAGATTTTCCAGATGGTGAGAAGTTGATATTTAGTCTGAATCCTACCTTTGATTTACTGCTGTGCTGTTTCTTAGCTATATGACCTCATGTAAGATTTATAAGATCTGTCAACAAATGTGTATGCTTAATATGCTGGCAATTCAAGCCAGGTGCTGGTGGCTCATGCCTGTAATCCTAGCTATTCAGGAAGCTGAGATCTGAGGATCCCAGTTCAAAGCCAGCCAGGGCAAGAAAGTCCGTGAGACTCTTATCTTCAATACAAACCACTAGAAAACCGGAAGTGGTGCTGTGGCTCAAGCAGTAGAGTGTTCACCTTGAGCCGAGAGCGCAGGGACAGTGCCCAAACCCAGAGTTCAAGTCCCACGACCAACCAAAAAAAAAAAAAATGCTGACAATTCAGACCATTTTTTCTTCTATAAATTGGAGCTAATACATTAGCAGTTCTCCCATTGGGTTTTTGTAAAGCACCAACAGCACATACTCTTCTCACTAAACTGGATTAAACTGTCAGCCCCAAGATGAATGTGATGTAGGCCTAGCCCCTCAGTTACCTGACTTTCAAGAATCCAGATGTAAAACTGGCCAACTGTACTATAATTTGATAACTGCTGTCACAGGAGAGGTAATAAAGTACCTGGACAGAATAGAGGAGGAAAAAACTCCTAAGCCTGCACAGCTTCCTAGAAGAAGTAATATCTGGGTTGTCTTACTGATAAGGAAATTCAACCTACAAGGAGAATAAGCAAGGTGAACATTTCAGGCAGAAGAAATGTCATACAGTGTAGGCATTCAAAAAATGTTCAAGAAATCCAGAATGTCCAGAAGCCAGTGATGCTGACTTCTAGAAAGATCTAGAAATCTCTCTGGGGGTACCTGGATTGGTATCCTGCTGGATCATCTATCATTTAGAGGAATTATTTTTTAACTTCTGCACATTGGTCCAGGTCTATAAGTACTTTATTAATGCAGCATCTTCTGATTACTTATGGAGAAGTTTTTCTTGAAAACAGAATTTTTAGCTTTATTACATAAACCTACTACTCCCAATTGCAGGGTTATAAAGAAGTCTCCCTGCTATGTTAGGGATGTTAGATTTCTCAGTGTATTTGGAGATGACATAAGTAACAAATGGTTAGTTTGGGACAGAGAAGTAAATGGGAAGAGTTGAGCTGTTGGGAGAGCTCTGTGAAGTTGCTAATACTTGAACTGGAATGACTGCTAAGGCCCTGGCAAATAATAAGGAAGGGAACTAGTTAACAAGTAGCTGTATATCGAAAATGGTGGTATGTATTTGGATCCTGGCCCTCTCAAAAATACGGATCATGAGTTTAAAGCCCTCTTTGGATAGATAGCAAGACTCTTTCTAGAAAAAAATAAAGCTTGAGAAAAGAAAAAAGAACTGTAGAAAGAGCATGGAATAAGTATTAATTTGGATTTTGGAATTTGTAGAATTTCAAGGTCCTAGCCTTGAAACCTAATTTGGGAATTGTCAACATATTATAAGGTTGACTTTAAAGCCACATATATGAAATTAAGTGAACCATTCCAGAGACTGAAGTGAACTTGAAGGCTGAGCATGGACTCAGGCAGTTTATAAGAGTCCAGGTATAAGGAATTACTCCAGGCATCTGAGAAGCACAGAAGTACAAAGAGAATCAGGAGAGAAAGAGTAGAAGCCTAAGGTCGTTGAGAGGTGACCTAAGTGAAAACCACAGATCAAAAAGGAGAAAAGGAGAAAGGTTGAAGGAACCCTCAGTATGCATTACTTCTAGAAAGTGTACTCTAGAATGAAGTAGATTTTGTTTTTTAGTAGCCAGAAGACTGCTTAGCATGTAGACTTTATTATGAACCTTTAACCACAGGTAAGCTCCACCAATGACATTAAAGAGAAAATTATGTATAATAAAGTGTAAGGCAGGTTCAAAGGAAATCAAGTGGATTTTATTGGGGCAAAAGTGAGTTACGTATGAGAGAACTGGAAAAGAGGTTGTTCAGGTTTTGTTGAGAACCCTGCAATGCTAATGGCTGTCTATATTATTTAAAGCTATATATCATCTAAGCTAGAGGTTTGGCTCAAGTGGCAAAGCCTTTGCCTACCAAGTATAAGGCCCTGAGTTCAAAGCCCAATACCACACACACATTAAAAAAAAAAAAAAAAAAAAAAAAGTAGCTATATGGAGAGAGAACCCTGTACTAGAACCAAGCAAGGCTTTAGCTACCAAACCTTTTCTATAGAAATGTGGCAAGGTATAGACGCTTACCTATCGCTATAGCACAGGTATTGTATTATGAATAAAGATGAGTATTTGCATAGCACTTCACAGATTTCAAGGCTTTTTACCTGCATTATTTGATCTGATTTCCACAGCAACTCTATGGCCAGAACCAAGGCTCGTAACCTTGTATAGGTGTGAGAACTGGAGCACCACTTCATGGGCTCAATTTCTTGAGTGTGTCTAATCAAGGAAGTGTGGCAGGTTAGGGCTTTTTGGCCTGGAGAAAGGAAGGAAGTGGAAGGGAACAGAATTGGACAGAGGGAGTTGTGTGGTGGCAGTTCAATCACAATGGAAGTCTTGAGATTACACTATGCGACGGGATTTTGAAATGACCCCTTAGAGTGGTCTTGAGCTGAGGCCAAGAGGCCAGACCTTTCTGTGCTGGTGATACTTTTTCCAGGCCTCCCACAAAATGGGTGTGGTTCTAGACTTGTCAGCCCTCTTCAGCCACAGTAATCCAGCTAAGGATTTATTATTGGCAAGACTTTCAGCAGCCAGGGGAAATGAGTCATTCATACCTGAAGAGATCTGGATGCACTTTGGTATGTCTTCCTTACAGCTGTGCATCCTGCCCCATTAGGGAAGGATGACAGGACAGAAATCAAAACAGGGTATAATTAGATTGGCAGTTGACTTTCTGATTGCTCAGAACATGATTTGCTTGGCATTTTAAAATTTTGGCATAAAGGTGTAACACAATCCTAATCTACCACATAGCCTAACTCCCAACTTTAATTTTTTAAACTATAGTGAGAAGATACCAAAGTAAGTGAAGAAATCATTCATTCTAATTGACCTTTTGCTAGGGAGAAAATGAGGACTAGTTACTTGTGTGAGGACAAGTACAGTGGAAGCAATCCAGAAAGAGTAAATTTGTCCATGCAGCAAGCCTGGGCTACACACCCTATACTTTCAGGGTAACTTCTGACAAGGCCCAGTGTTCTTTGAGCATATGTAATGGACAAGGCACTGTGCCAAGAACTGTGAGGTGCACAGTCTCATTGAGATAAGACACACTCAGAACGTCAACAGCAATATGATGTGCTGTATTATCGTAGTTGTAAGTGATGAAGGAGGAAGAGAGGAAAAGGTAATTGTTAAATTGGTATTCACTAGGTACCAGGAACTATTCTCATAATTCTTCAGTTTGGTTTTTTTTGTGCACTTGATTTTCAGTTGAAAGAAACGGCCTATGATGAGGTAAAGGGACTTACCCACCTTCCAACTGTGATAAGCAGCAGATGCTGCTAAGCTGGCCGTGGATCTGGCACACATAACTACCCATAATAGCATCCCCTAGAATGCTAGTGGGGTTCTCTGTTGGCGGTGTGAAAAAGATAACTTCCTGTCTGTTGCACCTAGAACCAGTTCATCTCTAGATTCAGAAGTTCAGAAACTGTTTTCATTGTTTTTCCATTCCTATGAGTTTTGCACAGGAGGTTGCATGTGACCCCAGGCAAGTTATTTAACTTCACTGTGTCTGAGTTTCTTCATCTATAAAATGGCAAAACAATAGTACCTATGACGAAGGACTAGAAGGACTGGGTCAGGAGTTATGTATGTTAAATACATAAGGCAGAGAGTGTAGCAATACATTCTTAACATTTCCCCTGCGAGTTCACTTGTAGAATACTTTATTCAAGTGGCACACCAGCAGGAGGGATTTGTGTGAAGAGGCAAACAGATGCAAACCTCCTGGTTGGAGGCTTAATGCTGGTTGGCTTTGAGAAATTAGCCCCGTCCCCACTCTTGCTACCCATTAGATAATGACAGAACCGTCAACCATGAATAGTAGCCAATAGCATCCACTAATCCAAGGAACAAAGGTTGACCTTCAAACACAAACTGCAGCTTCTGTTACCACTTCAGAATGTTGCTTATTTCTGGGAAAACACTTTTAAAAAACAAGGGGGGAACCAATGCAACAGTGATAATTACAAGACAATAAGTTGGAAATGATCTGTACAACTTAAGGAAGGTAGGAGGGAGGGAAAGTTGGAGGAAAATGAGGAAAGGGCTAACAAATTTGACAAGAAATATGCTTATTAACTTATGTAACTGTAACCCCTCTGTACATCACCAATAAAAAAAACAGCTGTCAGACAAAATCCAAGTATGTGCAATGGCAATAATTATAAATGTATAGGAAAGGAGTGACTCATCCCCCATTGTGATTATGTAAGTCACAGTTAATGGGAGGAAAATCCTATCACATGAAAGAAGAATGCTTCTGGTTTTAAGTGGTAGAAATCATTTCGGAGGAAGAAATGTGATTATAATTACTTAGTAACTCCCAATGTGAATTTTTTGTACTTAGTTCTTTTCATAATGGATCTACCTTTAATCTTTTCTTATAATTAGCTAAGACAATCTGTGCAAAGTATGCTGTGGGGGTGGGGGAGTAGGTTCTATTCCACAGCTATTACCATGGTGCCGAAAAATTAAAAACAAAACTTGGGTCTTAAACACTTAGAAACCTTGACAGTAGAAAGGAGAAGGTAATGAGGAGTGAAAAGGTTTAAAGAATGTGCATATACAGATGTATGTGCATCTACATATACACATATATGTGTATTTATGGTTATGTGTTTTACATATATGTGTGCATTTACATGAATGAAGATAACATAATGGAACCTACCTACTGTTTGTGAGAGGGTGGTTAAGGGATTATAATAGAGGGGTGAATTTACTCAAAGTATACTGTATTTCTCTGTGAAATTTTTATAGTTAAATTCCTTTGTACTATTAGTGGGTCATTAAATAAAAATAATAAAAACATGAGACTTATTAATTATATTAAAACCTATTGGTATTATTAGCTAACTATAGTTTACTAATAATTATTAATAACTAACTGGTATTAGTAATATTCAAAAATAATTTTTAATCGAAATTTGATATCTAAGACAAAGATATCAAAAAAATTTGCTGCCTACCTCTGAGCCATCCAAGCTTATTGCCAGTGGTGGTCTCTTTGTGTTGAACAGGTTGTGGGTTGGTTGAATGATACTCCAATAGCAAATCACATATGGTAGAAATGACAGGAGTCATGTGAAGTATGATCACCTATCAGGATGAAGGAATTTGGAAATTTATAGGCCAGGTGCTAGTGGGCTTACACCTAAAAGCCTCAAGAGAATGAGATTTGAGGATCAGGGTTCAAAGCAAGCCTGGACAAAAAAGTCTATGAGATTCTTATCTCCAACTAACCTGCAAAATGCTGGAAGTGGAAGTATGGCTCAAATGGTAGAGCATTAGTCTTGAGCAAAAAAAGCCAAGTGAGAGGGGATAGATGAGGCCATTTTATGTATATGCATGCAGGCATATATATATTATATATACATATATATCTGTTTATATATATATATATACATATACACACACACATATACACATTTTTATATAGAGAAATAGATAGATGGAGAGGGAGAGAGAGCGATCACCCTTAAAAGCAAGATGAATTTTACCCATATTCGCTTTCATCACTCCTAATGATGTTCGTAATTCATACATACTGATAGATATATTCATAACCTCTCTTGCAGGGATGCCATGAAAAAAAAGGAATAACAGATGATAATCCATTTCTTATTGGAGCCATTATTCCCTTCCCTTGAATGCATTCATCTGCCCTTCTCTCATCCCATCCTGATACTCTACAGCCTTGACCATGTATTTCCAGCCTTGACCATGTATTTCCAAGTCTTGGTGAATGGTGGGATTTAACCATACTCATAGCATAATCTGCTCTTCCTTGTCCTTGCTAAAAGATCTTTTTTAAATATAGGAAAATATATTTGTTGATCGATCAAGAATGGCTCCAAAGACACCAATAAAAAATGAACCAATTGATCTATCAAAGCAAAAACTCTTCACCCCGGAAAGAAATCCCATTACTCCAGTTAAGCTTGTTGACCGACAGCAGGTGGAGCCATGGACACCCACCGCCAACCTGAAGATGCTCATCAGTGCTGCCAGCCCAGACATAAGGGACCGGGAGAAGAAAAAGGGACTGTTCAGGCCCATTGAAAACAAGGATGATGCATTTACAGACTGTTTACAGGTAACAGCTATGCTCCCAAAAGTTTTTTTTATAGAACTTAGAAAGCTTTACTTGATTTTTAGAAAGTCATAGAATTCTGCTTTTCATTACCTGATGAGCTGAAAGTTCCTATCTTTTTCTTAACAGCTGAATTCCTGCTCTTGATCTTATTTTTCATAAGAAATGCTCTCTTCTTTGTATGATGCTCTCTTGACCAGACATGTTAAAAAAAACAATAGTTTTGATTTAATGAAGGGATTGATTTCTTTTTAACGTTTCTGTGTTGCTTTTGTTCAGATTTTATAGGCTACATTAGCAGAAATACTTTGGCTTGGAAAATTCCATTATTCATAAACATGATCAGTTGGCTGTTTGGGGGCTTTATTCAAGTGAATCTATCTTTAAATTGCATATCCTATGAGGACTGAATATGTTGCACTGTGTCTCATGCCTGTAATCCTAGCTACTCAGGAGACAGAAATCAGAGGATCACAGTCTGAAGCCAGCCCAGGCTGAAAGTCCATGAGACTCTTACCTCCAGTTAAACACCAAAAAGCTGGAAGTAGAATTGTGGCTGAAGTGCTAGAACTCCAGCCTTGAGCAAAAACTTTAAGGAATAGCACTCAAGCCTGATTTCAAGCTCCAGAACTGCTACCAAAAAAAAAAAAAAGATAAAAGAAAAACTAGTGATCAGTAAACTTTTTTCCAGGCTTCCTTTTAAAAAGTTACTTATAGCTAGGTACCAGTGACACACCTGTAATCCTAGCTACTTTTAGGAGGCTGAGATAAGAGGATCGGGGTTCAAAGCCAGCCTAGGCAGGAAAATCTGTGTCTCCAGATTAAACACCCCAAAAAGCTGGATATAGCTGAAGTGGTTGAGTGTTAGCCTTTAGCAAAAAATTTCAGAGACAGTACCCAGGCTCTGAGTTCAGGACCAGTACACAAAAAAAAGCTTACTTACAGATTTTACTGTTCTTAGCTATTTATACTCCTTTTGATGGACCTGTTACAGTATAAAATTTACTAAAATGAAGAAATAGGGAAGGGAGAAGAGAAAAAAGCTGTCCTAAATTAGAACTTGAAATTGATAGACCAAAATGAATTTAATCTCCTACACATATCATTACAGTGGCACAAGGCACAGATTCTTTCATGTAAGTAGATGCAAATCATAGATTTTTGAGAGTATTCCACATGGTTTAAACCCAGAAAATGCTCAGAATTCTTCTGGGCTGTCTGGCTTCCTTTATATTTTGTATTTGATGTGGAAAGTCCAAGGACTTTGTTCTGCAGATGTTAGGAGTCACCTGCCCTGGTTTTGCTGGGGTTGGAAGAATTAAATAAAATTGTGTGCTTTTTGCTGTCAGAGTCATAAATTAGATTTTCTTTTTTTTTTTCCTTTTTTAAAAAAAAGTTTTGATAAAATACAGCAAAGTGAAAACCACCCAAAAGGATTTGTCAGTCATTTTTTTGACACAGTAACATTATAGCTTACTTTTATCAAAGTAAACGGTTGTGCAATAATGACCTTAAAACACTTCTAGAAATCACTACAAGTGTTTTGTTTCTGTTTGGTTTGTGAGTTGGTTTTTGCTTAGTTTTTGTTTTGAAGCACTGGGATTTAAACTCAGGGTCTTGCACTTGCTCTACCACTTGAGCCATGGCCCCACCTCTTTTTTGCTTTAGTTATTTTTTGGATATGATCTTATGTTTTTGCTCAGAGCCAGCCTTGAACCATGACCCTCCTTCCTACACCTGCCATGTAGTTGTGTTGTGGGTATGAAACTACCATGTATGGCTAGCTTATTGGTTGAGATGGTGGTCTCACTGATTTTTAGCTCTGGTTTGCCTTAAACCATGATTCTGGTATAGCTACTGCCAGGTCATTGGATGTGCAGATGTTTACAAGTAATGTCCATTTGCTTTCCAAAGTGCTGTTTGTTTCCACCAGTAACAGATAAATCATTTGTTGACCCACATCCTCTCTGACACCTGAAATCGTCAAACATTAATCTCTCTCAAGCTAGTGAGCAAACAGTTGTTGTTTTTTTTTTGGGGGGGTCCGGTCGTGGGGCCGGAACTCTGGGCCTGGGCACTATCTCTCAGCTCTTCAGCTCAAGGCTAGCACTCTACCACTTGAGCCATAGCGCCACTTCCAGCTTTTTTCTTTTTGCTTATGTGGTGCTGAGGAATCGAACCCAGGGCCTTATGCATGCAAGGCAAGCGCTCTACCACTGAGCCACCTTCCCAGCCCAGCAAACAGTTTTTTTTATGTTCCTGTGGGTATTCCATTTGTTCGTCCTTGATGACTGAAGAGGCTAAGCTTTCCACACGATTCCTGGATGGTTTCTTCCTCTTCTCTGCAGTGCTTCTTTGTGTTGTTTTCTGATTTTTATTATCTTGTTTTACTTTTTCATATTAATTTGTAGGAGATGATTGTGTGGTTATTTGGGGCATTAAACCATTATCAAGTCAGTGTGTGGCCATGCCAATATCAATTCAATATATGGTCAGATTGACATTGTACATTTCTTAAGTTTAACTTAGTCTGTATAAATCCGTGTGTGTGTGTGTGTGTGTGTGTGTGTGTGTGTGTGTGTGTGTGTGTGTGTGTGTGTGTGTGTGTGTGTAATTGTTCCCTATCCAGAAGTCAGGAGAATATGGCCCTGCATTTTCATTTACAATTTGTTTTCTGTGATTAATAAACAATCCACTTGAAATTGCTTTTCATGTATGATGTTGAGTCAGTAATAGAACTTTATGTTTGTATATGGATAATCTGTTCTACCTGCATTATGAATTTGGAGTTCCTTCTACTACCTATGGAGTTCTAGTACTACCTATGTCAAATATCAAAATTCCATTTACTCTATATGTCTATTTCTGAATCCTGTTCTACTGGTCAATTTGTTTCTCTGCCATTGCTATATTGTGAGAAGCCTTGTTATCAAATAAGGCAGGACTTTCATATTTTTCTTCAAATATATAGCATGGGTATTCTTAGCAATTTGTTCTTCCATTTGTACTTTAGATTGGGTTTTAATTCTGAATCAGTTAAGATAATCACATCTCTTTTTTCCCTTGAATTTGTATATTGAAAAGCCTTTTTATGTTCTTGGTACTTAAATGAAGCTACTTCTCAAATGTTGATGAAACGAAGATGTTATTGTAAGAAAGTGACAAAAGATTAGAATACATATCCCAAGCACATGTGGCTTATACCTGTAATCTCAGCTGCTCAGGAGGCTGAGATCTGAGGAACATGGTATCAAAGCCAACCACTAATTATCTCCAATTACCAGGTGGAAGTAGAGCTGAGGTTCAAGTGGTAGAGCCACAACCCTTGAGCAATAAAAGCTCAGGAACAGCACCCATGCCCTAAGATTAAGCTCTAGGACTGGCTGGCACACAACACACACACACAGGGCTAATTTAATGGCCCTTGTTCAGTTTCAGCCTTTAGTATAATATGTTGTAAAATATACAGGTTAGACAATGCAATGCAGGTCAGTGCATCTCAAACTTTCATGTCAAAATCAGTCATCACATAGAATCTTACAGAAGGGTGGAAAAGAACTTCTTTGTGGTACTAAACCATTCTATCCATGAAGATAGTCTACTTCTTGGTTTTATATGTTCTCTAATATCAGTTTTAGTGGTTTGGGCAAATAGATTTGCTAGATTTATTCCTAAATAGCTTCTTATTCTTGATACTGTGTATAATGCCTTTTCAATTCATTTTCTGTATAGAAATGCAGTTCGTTATAAAAAATAATGTCTTAACATTGAAGTATCTTGCTAAAGTATCTTATGGTTAGTACTTTGAGATTCTTTAGAAAAAGAGTCATCTTATCAATCAGACAAAGATTTTGCTTGTTCTTTTCCAATCCCTGTGCCTCAATTTTTTTTTCTTGTCCTCATGCACTGACTAAGATCTCTAGTGTAATATAGAAGAGAAGCAATGATAATGTATGTCCTTGTTATTCTCCTGATTTTTCAGGGGATGTTTCCAGGATTGTCCTGTCAAGACAGATGTTTGCTTTTGAGTTTTTCATGAGCAGCCTTCATTGATGAAGCTCTCTCCTATTTCTAGTTCTCCTAGGGTATTTTTGAAAACCATAGATGAGTGTTAGATTTATCAAATGCTTTTTCTGAATCTGTTGGGATAATAATCTCCCTTCTTGAATCTGTTTATTAAAATTGTTTACTTTCTTGGCACTTGAGTGAAGCCTTTTTCAAATGTGGGCTGATGAGACAAGGATGCTAGTTAGAGTACTTACAATAAGAAAGAGAAAGGAGGAATATGATTTACAGGCCCTTGTTCAAATGACCTTTGGTCATTTGTAAAATATACAAATTAGCAAACACCATACAGGTCAGTGCATCTCAGATTTTCATGTCAAGAACAGTAAACCATGATGTTACAGGCCTGAGATTCTGCATCTCAAACAAGCTTCTAGTAGTGCTTATCAACAACCATATTAGCAAGGGTGTAACATCTATACATGACATATTTTTAAAATTTTTAACCAATAGAAGGAGCCTCTTATAGCAAAGAAGAAGAAAAAAACCTCAGTCCAGAAGAAACAATAAATCATTAAAAACATCAAATTACAAATGTATTTAACAAGAATCTCAGGTGATAGGATGGTATAAATGGAATACGTGTCTCCCGCACCCCCTTTCCAACTTGTCTGTACCCATCGTTTCAATTTCTCCATTAGAATGTTTTTCTTTTTCTTTTTGTTGGTCGTGAGGCTTGAACTTTGGGCCTGGGCGCTGTCCCTGAGCTCTTTAGCTCAAGGAGAGCACTCTACCACTTGAGCCACAACACCACTTCCAGTTTTCTGGTCGTTAATTGGAGATAAGGGTCTCAGAGACATTCTTGCCTGGGCTGGCTTTGAACTGTGATCCTCAAATCTCAGCCTCCTGAGTGGCTATGATTACAGGCCTGAGCCACTGGTGCCGGGCTCCATTAGGATGTTAACCATGACATATCCCTCCTCTCTTCTGTCTGCCCTCTGTAGTTAGATGCTGTTGGGGACAGTGCTGTGGATGAATTTGAAAAGCAGAGGCCAAGCCGAAAACAGAAAAGTTTAGGACTGCTGTGCCAGAAGTTTCTAGCTCGCTATCCAAGTTATCCCTTGTCAACAGAGAAAACAACCATCTCCCTAGATGAAGTTGCTGTCAGTCTTGGTATGTATCACCACAGTACCTGGAGGCCTGTCTCCAGTGACAGTGGGAATCTGGTTTTCTGAGGCAGGTAAAGTCCTTCATAGTGGGGCCTTCCACAGGGGAGGACAGGGAGCAGCCAGAGATGTTTGCATCATCACCAAGTGTCTCCTCTGCACAGAATTCCAGAAAGCCTCCTAGATCTGGGAGAACAGGCTTTTTTAACCTTAAATAAAAACATTTTGCACTGGGCTGTTAGTGACTCCCACTGTAATCCTAGTTACTTAGGGACTGAGACCTGGAAGATCCCAGTTGAATGTCAAGCAAGCTTTCTGGTGAATGGTGAATGGTCAAGATGACTTGTACTCATAAATGGACATGTTGAACCAATTCCCCCTTGTGCTTATAGAGACTTTGAAAAAAAATTTTAAGGTGTCTGAGATTCTGTCCCAATTAACCAGCAAAATGCTGGAATGGAGGGATGGCTCAAGTGGTAAATTGCTACCTTCGAGCATAAGTAAGAGCATAAGGCCTTGAGTTCAAGCTCCAGCACAACATATATGTTGTATACAGTATTCATATAATTAATATATATTTTATGTGCATGTTTATGTGTGCATAGATATATGTCTATGTATGTATGTATATGTATATAAACACATGTATCTATGTGTATAGGTATCTATACATATATCTATGTATATATTTGTAAGAGGAAATATTTTTGAGCTTTAGATTACAAAATGTTGCCCCATTTAAAATTCACCTTCACCCTCACCATAGGATAAATGTAATCCCATTACTTGGGAGGCTGTGGCAGGAAGATCATGAATTTGAGGCCCCCTTGGGCTCCCTAATGAGACTGTCTCACTAAAAACAAAATACAGATATCCTGCTTTTAATTTTTTAATAATGTTTGTAAGAGTTTATAACTGATGTTATTTTATTTTAAAGAATGATTTGAGAGCAAGATTTGTTTGAAGTCCGAACCATAATATTCACATAAAGCCTGTTAAATGAGAAAAAAAGCATATCTGCACATTATTCATACAGCTTAAATCTTATAACAACGAAGGGCAAGAGCGTTCACATGGCAGGAGCATGTGTAATGTCTGATGAGTGTACTGCTATAAAAAAAATACGTGTGTGCGTATATACATACATACAAATAAATATAAAATATAGATAGATTCAGCTGCTTCAGAATAGAGACTCCTAGTGGACATTAACTGCGGTTGCCAATCATTAAGCAAAGATGTCACAATATTCTCTTAAATCATAAGAAGCATTTACATATATGGGGGGAGGTAAAGAGACCAGCTTAAGTAGATGATAAATATTTTTTCTTAGTTTTCTTCCTTCCTACATCAGAAACATGTGCCTCGGGACATAGACGATTGTTGGTCTGAACTATTCAAGGTCATAATTAAGAAGATGATTTGGGTTGTTGGAAACTGAGATAATTAGGAAAAAGTGGGTTGCGGTAGGAATATCATATCATAGGCCGGTTTGGGGGTCAATGGGGCTTGATGTTTTTTTTCAAGTGCAACTCTTAAATTTATATACCGTAAATCTTTCAAAAAGGTAATTGACCAGAAAAAAATATTAACCTATTATTGACTGTAACAAAGGGACCATTATAGTACCTACCTTGCAGAGACATTGCCAAGTTGGACATAATCAGAATGGCATGCCTAACTTCATATCTGGGGTATGGATTGGCAGTGAGCCTTTCAGAAACATGAGCTGAAATGTTCTGATTGACCCTGAAAAACCTCTTCATACCTGGCATGGATAATAACTTAGTTCTTATTAGATTCTTCCCCTTCACCCCAGTCCCCAGCTGTCTAGTCAGGCTCTGTATATAAGAAAAGGTAGAATATTGTGGTTAGGGAAATATTATAGAACCCAAAGTTTAATGAAATAATCTGGGATAGCTGACAAATCCAACAGGGAAGGGAGGGAAGGTACGGTGGAGAGCCTCTTAAGGTTCTGGGTCCTAGAAGCCAGTGTTAGAGAAAATGAGGATAACAGATCATCCAGCATTCATAAAGCCTATTCCCCATCTCTAAATTCTCTATTCAGGAGTCTTGCGCTGATGTCACTACAGAAGACAGAAGTTTAGATGTTGGAAGGATAGATCACAGGTCCTAGGGAGGACAGAAGAACAAACTCATACTTTCATATGGGCTACAGATTAATTCTTAGAGTTCCACGTTACAGTACCTGGAGCAGAAGTTTTTTTTTTATTGTGAAAATACTGTACAGAGGGGTTACAATTACATGGGCAAGATAATGAGTACATTTCTTATCAAGCATTGTAGCCTCCTCCTTTGTTTTCCCTTCCCATCCAGAGAGTTTTTATAGCTTCCCAATGCCCCAGACCTGTCATCTCTCCATGGGAGCTTGAAAAATGAAGTCCTTTCCTAGTAGTTTCATTGGTGACCATCTCCTGGGATTGAGTCTCCCTTCTATCTCAAGGTTACAAGCTGTTAAGACCATAGGATATGTAGAGCTTCATATTGCCTGATTTCTCAGATTCTGGTGTATATAGGCTTGACATTGATATTATGGGTAAGAATTTAAAGAACAGGGCAACTTTAGTAAGTGGAAAATAACACAACAACAGTTAAAACTCTGTAAGATGGAAAATTCAGGTGACTAAGCCAGGCAAGCAGCTGCTACTTTGGCTCTCACCAGAACCACATACTAGGAACCATGGTACATATTAAAGATCATCTAACTCAAATGCTCAGAATCTGTGATTTCCTCTTCCAAGGGATATTAGCCACTAGATGGAGACTTAATCGCTTGCTAGCAAATACCAAATAACAAAACACTGGGGCATATGGCTGGCCCTGGGGTGTCTCAGTTGCATTCACATGACATTTCTAATGGGAAGGTTTATAGAACGTTACACTCTAAACAAGATGTGGTAAGATGTTTAAACGGCTGAAATGAAGAACCAGGCCTTTCTAGACAAGGTGATACTGACTGCCCCTGCCAGCACCTTGCAATGGACAGCTGGTACTGAAGCCTGAGACTTAGGGGGCTGAGAGCTTGGGCCATGAGGCTTTCAGAACATGAACTGAAATGTTCTGCTAGACCATGAAGTGCCTCTTCCTGACTGTGCTAAAAATGGCCTCGCCACCCCAGGGTTTTCCTTGTAATAGGTGTCTTTCTCATATTCTATCTTTGAAGAGCCAAAAGCTGCATTCACCAAGTCTGCCCTGATTCTATAACAGCTCTTAGCTGTTAGGAAAAAGAAAGAGGACATCTTTGTTGCTGGGCAGGTTTTCTGGAGACTTTTGTTATGGACCCTTAGGCTAGAACAAAGGAATCTGGGCCTGAGGGCCTATTGCACAATAAAGTCACTGACAGATTGGGGAGGTGGGGGGAGGTGGGTATGGCCCTGGGACTTAAACTCAAAACCTGTCTGCTCTCTGAGCTTTTTTGCCCTAGACTAATGCTCTACCACTTGAGCCACAATTTCACATCCAACTTTGTGGTAGTTAATTAAAAAGGCCACAGATTTTTCTGCTCAGGCTGGCAGTGAACTGTGATCCTTAGATCTCAGCCGCCTCAGTGGCTAGTTTCATAGGTGTGAGCCATCAGCACCTGACCAAACAGGTTTTTATCTAGTCCGAGATCTTACGTTAGCAAGGATTTTAGGCATCTCTAATGCCATGTAAAATATTTAGATTAAAATTAATCACTAGGGGAACTTTTACATTTATTCTCATCTTATGAGGTAAGCACTAAGGCACAAAAAGGCTAAGTAACTTCCCAGGATCACACAACTAGTAATAAGGGGTAGGTCAAGGATTCAAATCAGGCAGTTTTACTCATATCCCTCCCACACTTAACCACCTAACCACCATAACTATTTCTGATGTTTGGTAGACAGCTCATGCTCCCAAGGTACTTGTAGAGATGGGGAAGTGGGGAGGCAACTGATGGTGTCACAGTCATTCTGTACCAGTCTTTGTGCTTCACTGATGGGATGTTTGTTAGCATATGGGGAGTGAGAACACAGGGAGAAGGGTCAGGACCACGTAGAGCAAGAGGACACTGGAGGGAGACTTGTGCTTTTTCCAAGTCTGGCTATAGCTTCCTCCAGCAACTCCAGCCCAAGCCCTTGAACCATTTTTGTTTTATTGTTGTTCATTTTGTTTGTTTGTTTGGTGTTGATGGTTGGCAGTACTGGGATTTATACTGCCCCTCATGCTTGCTAGACATGTGCTGTACCACTTGAGCCACACACCCCAGCTCTTTTTACCAACCCTTCAACCACGATCCTACAGATCTCTACCTCCCAAGTAGCTGAGATTATAGGTGTGAGTACCTGACCTGGCCATGCCCTTATATCTTGAGTTTCTAGCTCAAAATAGGAAGCAATGATTAAGAAAGCCTGATAAAATTCTTTGTATCATTCAAAGTTCAAGAAAGGATGGTATTGTCCAATGATGAAGTGCCAATTATTAGACCTTAGTTCTCATTTTGCAAAATTAGGCATACAGGTCACAATCAACCACCCGTTCATCCTGTGTCATTATTATGCATATTGTGGCATATATCCTGTGGCATATTATTATGCATATCGCTTGATACTACCAATTTGAATATGCTGAAATACTTAGAATATACCTTGTTGACCTAATAGGTATCAAGAGCAGATCCTATGCAGATGATCTATGGCCATCTCAAGACTGGGTCTAGGGCTGGGAAGGTGGCTCAGTGGTAGAGCACTTGCCTTGCATGCATGAGGCCCTGGGTTCCATTCCTCAGCACCACATATGCAAAAAGAAAAAAGCCAGAAGTGGCACTGTGGCTCAAGTGGTAGAGCGCTAGCCTTGAGCTGAAGAGCTGAGGGGCAGTGCCCAGGCCCAGAGTTCAGGCCCCACGGCCGGACCTAAAAAAAAAAAAAGACTGGGTCTACTTGAAAGTTGGATCCCAAGAGTAAATGAAGAAAAATAATTTCCATTGTTTAAACTCTGATACATTGAATTCATTGAGCATCCACAAATTGCTTGGCATTACATTCTACAAAATAGTTAATAGAAAAAGTCTAGGCCCAAGGATAAAAAGTCCAATCCAAGGATACTCAAAAGTGTACATCTGTTGGCCTATGTTTCCCAAACAGGTGTGGAGAGGAGACGTATCTATGATATTGTAAATGTGCTGGAGTCGCTACATCTGGTCAGCAGAGTCGCCAAGAATCGGTATGGCTGGCATGGTCGGCACAGCCTGCCCAAAACCCTGAAGACTCTCCAGAGACTAGGAGAGGAACAAAAATATGAAGAGCAGATGGCCTACCTCCAACAGAAGGAGCTGGATCTGATGGATTTTAAATTTGGAGAACGTAGAAAAGATGGCTATTCTGATTCTCAGGATCAACAGTTACTGGATTTCTCTGAGCCCGACTGTGTTTCCTGTGAGTCTGTTATGACCTTGTGTATAATAGCAAAGAGAGTGATGGTCTCTTCTGAAGATCTTCACTATTAAGATATAAAGTGCCGGACTCACAAGCCTAGAGGGAGATGTCCTGTCATTCTGTCTATTCAAGAAAGGAAGCCAGATGGCTGCACAAATAGGCCATCCACTTGACCTTGTGTAAACCTTGCCTAGTAGCAACTCTCTTGGTGTTTGGTGTGTTTGAATTGTAGATCACTAAAAGAGCTCCCATTATAGATTGACTACTCAGTACTTTCTCTCTCTCTCTCTCTCTCTCTCTCTCTCTCTCTCTCGCTCTCTCTCTGTCTCTGTCTCTTTCTCTCTTTTCTTTTTGGAGTGTGTGTATGTTTGTGTGCTAGTACAAGGCTTGAACTCAGGGCCTATGTGCTGTCACTTTGACTCAAGACAGGAGCTCTACCACTTGGGCCATAGCTCTGTTTCTGGCTTTTCAGTGGTTATTTGGAGGTAAGCGGCTCAGACTTTACCTGCCCGGGCTGGCTTTGAACCCGGATCTCCAATCTCTTGTCTCCTGAGTAGCTAGAATTATAGGTATGAGTCACTGGCACCTGATAATGCTGTTTTCTTTTCTTCACTGATGAAGTTATCTTTGCAAAGAATTATATTTAATTATTATGCAGTAGATTAGGTAAAAATCCCCTGGAACAGAAAGTATTTATGAGAAAAACTAACAGGATTTGTTTTTTAATTTATATTGTGTTGTTCCTCCCCCACAACTCGTATCTTCCTCTTCCCATTTTAGCCAGTGATAATCAGCATCCTTGCCCTCCTCGTTGCTCAGATAACAAAGTACAAGTATCACTCACATTGTAGTTGCAGATCTTAGAAGTACAAAGAAGGGTGACATTAGAATCCCATGGGCTCATGCCTTTTATTTCCAATCCACAAGGCAGGGAAGGTAGCCATCTGTTGTAAATGGTTTACCTGCCATCCGTGGAAGCTTACTTCTAATCCTCTCCTGTTTATATAGAGCTTATTTGTGCACCTATTTTTGACAAAAATTGGGAGACGTGGGCATCTATTATGTTAGTATATTCTAGATATTGTGAGCACAGAGAACAAATATGGCATTTTTACCTTTGAGAAGAGAGTTAATGTCCTGGGGGGGCGAGAGAAGGAGGGACACCTTATCCCTGACCTCTCTTTTCATCTGTCTGTATTAATCTTCTCCAAAAGTAGCTTTAGGAAAACTTACGTGTGGATTCTATTATATATGTAAGTGTGGCATGTGAAGAGCAATTTAAAATGTGCGTGTAAGAGTTTAGGCTTGCTGCAGAGTAATTTTATGAGCCATAAGATTTGCTTAAATGAGCTGATTTGTGTAATGGGTGTCCAGTAAGTTTCTGCCTAGAGCATATGCTGGTGGAGTTAGAAGGTTCTGGAAACTAAGGACAGTTTTTCTTAGGGTAAACCCTTTGGTTTGATTTTTTTTGTTGTTGTTTCTTTCCCTTCTCAGCATCTGCTAACAGTAGAAAAGATAAGTCCCTGAGAATCATGAGCCAGAAGTTCGTCATGTTGTTCCTGGTCTCCAAAACCAGAATTGTTACTCTGGATGTAGCTGCCAAGATACTAATAGAAGAGAGCCAAGATACTCCAGATCACAATAAATTTAAAAGTAAGAATCTTTATATGTTTATATCCCACAAAAAGGGTGGGATTTCATGTGCTGATACTTTTGGCCTCTTAAGATTATGAGGAGACATGTATATATATTTATTTTTGAGAAAAATACTCTCCTTCCTGGGCTGATAAAGGTCCATTAGTGCTGTTGGGAGGTCAGTCACCTGTTAGAAATCCCTTTACACTGCTGCCTGAGGGCCTTTTCTGGATGGTTCTAGTGAACAGGAAAGTGGACAGTGAGAATAGAATACCATGCTGAGAACTGTAGTCAGGGAGGGTATGTGGTTCTTTGCATTTCTCTTTCGTAATGCTGCATCCAAGACAGAATATCTGAGTTTTCTTTCCCCTTTTCTCCCCCACCCCCTGCTTACTCTTCTGAAGGGTGGAGATGAAAGTTGTTTGCAGGTAAGAGCCAGAGAACCGATGAGGATTGGGTGGTGGGACATGGCTGCTGGACAGAAAGATAGCCTCCAAGTGTCGCCTGTGCATTCCCTTTTTCTGTGAAGCTAGGATCCTGCGCCAATTCCCTGGGCCCCTGGTGGGAAGCCATGTGCTCATTCTTAGCTGCTTTGATTTCTGGCTGGAATAATAGCTAGGTTGAAATGGCTCAATAAAAACTCAGCCCTGGCAGGGTTAGGAGAAAAGCTTAATGTTTCTGGACAATTACCCAAACTCCTTTGCTTCATCTGAGCCCTGAGGTCAAATGTGTTTCCTCTCAATCAATTTTTTTGAATAGAGATTTCTTGGATAGAAAAAAAATATGTCATTGTCCAGCCAACTTAATGTATTACCACCCCCTTTGGGTTTTCTCTCATGTGTGTATACAGTTTTCCAAGATGGCTGAGATGCCCTCCCATCCTGCCCTGCTGGATGGCCAGAAGGTCAGCATTTCAGGTGTGGAGCTGATATTATTAAGCACATGACCTTGAGTCTTTGGCATCTTATGTGTCCAGTGAGTGTGCCCTTGCAGAGAGCCCTTGGGCAATCCTGGTTATTTTTACAGGCCAGCTGTCTATGAGGCAGGTGCCGCAACCTCCCGCAGAGAGCAGCTCAGGACAAGGCTTGGATATGCCACACATCCGAATTACATTTATTAAGCTTTTCATCTCAGTCCATTTTTTTCCCCTTGGTGTTTTTTGCAATCACAGTGCTCTTTGCTTTCTTGTCAGAGGTGCGAAGTTGTAGAGAGGGAAGGACAAACTGACCTTCCATTTACTATGTGTCTTCAGAAACATCAGATGCATAAATCTTCCGTGGTTGTGTGACAGAGCCATTGGTCTCTTCCCCACCCCTCTGGAGGTTTATGTGGTGACCAAGAAATGTGTTCTGTCACATCAACTAAAAGGTACTAATGTCACAGGTGGCACGACTGTAATTGCCTTTTATATCTTCAAGCAAAGGTACGACGTCTCTATGACATAGCCAATGTTCTGACCAGCTTGGCTCTGATAAAGAAAGTCCACGTAACAGAGGAACGAGGACGTAAACCAGCCTTCAAATGGATCGGGCCTGTGGATTTCAGTTCCAGTGGTAAGGAGGTGTGGTTTTACCAGGGATCTAGTTTACTTACCAACGACTAATTCCTTTTTCAGATTATAAATTGATTACACAGTGAGATCTGCTTTCTTTTCCTGTAATCCATGTCACACACAACATTAGACAAGCATCATCACTTGTGCAGCAATGATCATTATTCTAAATGCCATGGGGTTGGGTCATCCATAGTAAGAAAGGAAACATGAGGCCTTGTAACAGATTTTCTGACACTTTCGAATTGTGATTGTTTCTTTGTTAGCGGAATAAAACATTGTTTTCAGAGACGTACCAAATAATGTAAAAATTACATCTATTACTGTCACGAAACTAGTAAGTGGTTAGATTGCTTCTAAATATAGCATGGATGTAATGAACATTCATTCTGTAATTTATTTAAAAGGTTAGAAATACCACAATTTTACTGAACTGGAGTGAAAGAGGGTACTCATTTCACAGGTAATATCTGAGCCATCAGGCACTAGAGCTCTACAGCAGGGACTTCACAGATAGCTGTGCTGCCTGGGAAAAAGCCATTACAGTTATTTTTAAATTACCCTTTCAATTTTGGCATTAGTGGTACAAATTCATGCCACTTAATTCAGCCTTATAAAAGATACCATTCTCTACCTCTTTAGTAACACTGACTGGATGAGATCACTTAAAATCAAGTGTAACTAATTCAATGCAGCAAGTATTTACTGAGTCTGGACTGGGTGCCGATAGCTATGCTATATGCATTGGGAAATTTAAGGTGTATATGACGCAGTTCCTGCCTGCATGAAATGTTCAGTTTTGCCATGTTCTGCTTCTCTACCTTGGTTTCTGTGGTTCTTTTCACCCATGAAGCTTTCTTTTTTTTTTTTCTACCTTTAAAAAAAAGGTTATGTTTCACTTAGAGACAGGCATACATTATGAGAAATGTGTCATTACAATATTGGTGCAAATATCATATCACTGTACAAACATTAATAAATGAACTTACACAAACAATTACTGCCACAAAGTCACGGCACAGTATGTACGTATGTATATACATATATGTACACATATATATATATATATATATATATATATATATATATATGGCATAGGACTATTCTCTGCTTTCAAGATCTGGCCCAAATATCTACTCCTTCACATGTTGTATTATGTTGATGATGATGGCCTTGATATGTAGGATGCCCTTGCCTTTCTATCTACTAGATGGCCTTGATATGTAGGATGCCCTTGCCTTTCTATCTACTATTACCCCCATGGTACCTGGAACCTTGCTTAACTTCTTTTGCTTTAGTTGGCTGATGAGCTTTTGAAGGTACATAATTCCCACAAGTTTAAGTTAAGAGTTAAGTAGTAAAGTAGTAAATCAGGGTGGCACTGCATAGGTAGAAATTGAGAGAAGATACAGATTTAAGTTCTGATGGAACTTAGGTACTGGAAAAATGAAAGAATAGTGTGTTTTTCAACAAATGTGTCAAGCCAGGTCCTAGTGACTCACAGCTATAGTCCTAGCTACTCTGGAGGCTGAGATTTGAATCATGGTTCGAAGCCAGCCCAGGCTGGCTTTTGAAGAGTCCATGAGACTCTTATTTCCAATTAACCACAAAGCAAAAGCCAGTAGTAGAACTGTGGCTCAAGGGGTAGAGCTCTATTCTTGAGCAAAAACGCTAAAGTACATGCCCAGGCCCTGAGTTCAAACTACTACCAGCACAAAACAAAGAACTAATACATCTATGGTAGCAATATCAGGCATTCTGATTCAAGTGCAAAGCTTAACTTAGGATAATGAGATAAAGTGTAATCAGCTTAAGGTATAATCATTTTTGGAAAGCTTCAGAATATGTGAGCCATAAAATTTGTACTATATAAAAGAGAAGTGATGAGGAATCTTTGAAGTTAGGAGATTAAAGAGGAAAAAGACTAATGTGGAGGTTCCATTGGAAAAAAATTAAGATCTCTGGAAAGTGAGCTGGTGTTGAAAATACAAGAAGTTCATATATTTGCATGAGGACAGCAAAGAGGGTTTGGAGCCATTCTGAGCACCATTTTTCTCAACCATTTAGAAACCAAGTTTCTTTTACCTATTCTCTTGTTTTGCTGCTGATATTGTCATCAATGAAGCAACCAGGTTTGGAACTTTAGGATGTTTAATTTAGTAGTTTCCATGGTAAAAATTCATAAATGTCTCATCCCTCTTCTTCCTTCCAGCATGGTACAGTATATCATACATGTTTGTTTTTTAACAACTCTCAAGGTGTCACTGGAATACAACAGATAGCATGAAATTGTTCTTTGTGTTGTCAAACGTTTTACTGTTACGTATTTTACAGGGTCTATAGTTGATTTTTGATTCTGATTAAGGCAATTCTTTAAAGCAGTTCTTTAATAGAGGGAAATATTATCTACCTATTTAGTTCCTATTTCCAATATTCACTGGAAATTATTATTAAGCCTTCCCTTTCTGTAGGTGTAAGCTTCCAGCTAATAACGTTTTTCTTCTGCTTGAAAGACTTTCACATTTCTTTTAGTGAAAGTCTGACAGTGATGAATTCTTCTGACTATTGTATGTCTGAAAACGTTTTATTTTTGAAAGGTATTTTCACTGGGTGTAGGGGTCTAGGTTAAAGAGTTTTTAACTCCTTTCTTTCTTCATTACTTTCATTTTCACTTTTTTTATTTTCCCTTGCCAGGATGGAATCCAAGGCCTCACAAAGTTATCAGCTGTTTCTTCAGTTTCCTGTTTTCTTATCTCTGTCCTTTACAGTTATATTTGGTTGCTTGCAATTGTCTCACAAATCACTGATCTTTTCCTTTTCTTTCTTTCTTTTTTTTTGTTTTGTTTTGTCTTGTTTTGTTGGCTAGTCCTGGGGCTTGAACTTAGTACCTGGGCACTGTCCCTGAGCTGCATTTGCTCAAGCCTAGCACTGTACCAGTTAAGCCACAGCGCCACTTCTGGCTTTTTCTGTTTATGTGGTACTGGGGAATTGAACCCAGGGCTTTATGCATGCTAGGCAAGCACTCTACCACTAAGCCACATTCCCACCCCTGATCTTTTCTTTTTTCAGTTTTTTTTTTTCTGTTTCACTTTTATTCATTTATCTTGCAGTTTCTTCAGATTCACTGTTCTTTTAGTGTGTGTGTGTGTGTGTGTGTGTGTGTGTGTGTGTGTGTGTGTGTGGTGTGTGTGTGTGTGTATGCACTCGTAGTGAGGCTTTAACTCTGGGCCTTTTACTCTTGCTCAGCTTTGTTCACTGAAAATTGGAGCTCTACCATTTAAGCCATACCTACATGCCTAGCTTTTTGCTGGTTAATTGGAGGTAAGAATCTCTCCAATTTGTTTGCCTGGGCTGGCTTCAATCTGAGACTTCTCAGATCACCTCCTAATAAGATTATAGGTGTGAGCCACCAGGGCCCAGCTCATTCATTCTTTTAACTTCAATTGGTCATTAATCCCATATCTTACATATTTTACATCTTCAATCTTTTTGTTTTTTTATCTCCAAGAGTTTGATTCGGGCTTTTATATTTTTCATATCTCTTAACACTAACACATTCTAGCTTCTTGAAAGTGTACATTTCTATAACTTTTAAAGTGCTGATCTACTGTACTGTCATCTTTACCACATCTGAGTTGACTTCTATTTTTTTCTTCCTCATTGTAGGATATTGACCTAGTTCTTTATGTACCTGGTAATTGTTCATTGTATGCTGGACACTGAGAATTATACAATGTTAGATGCTGGACATTTCTATATTCCTAAGATTGTTCTTAAGCTTTGTTATATATGGGGTGCAGTAAAATTACTTGGAAACAGTGATCCTTTGGGATCTTAATTATATGCTTTTATGAGCAGAACCCTGTCAGCAATGAATCATCAGTACATTTTCCCACAACCAAGACAATATCATTTTCATCCACTAAACAAACATTTCCCCTGAACTTTGAGGCTTATCAACTCTAGCTGGCATTAGCCCTGTATGAGTTGCTGACTTTTTCTCTTTACTCTTTTTGAGTGTTTCTTTTGCTGACCACTGGGTAGCTCACTTGCATCAATACAACTACTCAAGGGGACTCTCTGTGGACCCCTACTTTTGTCTGTCTTACTCCCATTAATCTGCTTGTCCTGGTTTTCCAGGTTCCTCAGCCTCATCCTCAACTTAGGGATACTGTACCTCTAGACTTGTGTACCCCAACTCCAGGCAATCGATTAGGACAACCATGGAGCTCACTTCATTTTATCTTTAAGGAATCACAGTCCTTCCTGTTCTGATGCCCAATGTCTTAAGAACCATTGTTTTATACTCTTCATCATTGTTTTAGTTGACTTGGGAGGGAGAGCTCATGAAACTGGCTGGACTTATTTTCTACTTTGGGGTTTTATCATATCTGATTTTCTGAAGGGATCGTTTATTGAGCCTTTGCTATCCAAAAAGAAAGAAAGGGGGAAAAAGCATAAAGATTTTTTTGTTTCAGTTTTAAGATTACATTATCCCAAAAATGTAACTTTTCAGTGTATTGTCAGCTTTATACTTAAAATATGCATGCTTTCAGCTTAAGAAAAAAAATAGTAGGAATGACATCTGGACGGCAGGGCTGGCTGCCTTCCTCTGCCTGGAATTCTGACTTGGCTTCACATAGGCTCCTTTTAAGCACAGTGGCCTTCAAGCCCATCATTCTGATAGCTTTACCATTGTATACATTTCGTCTGTACTGTCTGCTGACCTCATTCCTTTGGTCACTTTAGTAACTGGGCTTCCCACTGCATCAAAAAAAAAATTACTAAAGCATCACAGAATATAGAGATTCTTCTGCTTGTTGCCCTAGTGCTTCGCCTAAGAGGCTGGCCTCAATCTTGAAAGTGAATCTCAAAATATGCATGTTGGACTAAGCATGGTCAGGTTTTCTTTTGATACCTTCTGCCCCAACAGAGTATTAAAATGTCAGGCTGCTCTAATTTGGGTTGAAGAACATCTTGCTCTACTTTTGTGGTAGTTAGATCATTTTGGAATATATACACGAATTCATTCTTACCTTTCAACCATCTACTAACTTAACAAAACTATGGGTACCTCAAAAGGAATTGGAGTTTGAGATAGTTTTTCACATATGGGGTAACTCTATTCCAATGACAGATTCAAAGTCAATGCTTACGAAGACTAAATAGTAGCCTGGATTCTAGCTATCTAACAACACCATCAATTCTCTCCTTTACTCAGATGAAGAACTTGCAGATGTCTCTGCATCTGTCTTACCAGAACTGAAAAGACAAACATTTAGTAAGCTTCAAGTTGGTGCGAAGCAGAGGCTGGCTCGCTATGGCTCCTTGAACACAGTTCAGACTTCCGAGAAGGTACAGAGAAAAGGGAACTCGGAACCCAGCAGCCCCTACAGAGAAAACCAAGGTACCTGCCTTTGTTTAATCTGCGGAATCTATCAATCACCAGGAATAGTAGTCCTGTCCATGTACTGGCATAAAAGCAATAATTCAGTTGGATGCTGGTGGCTGATGCCTATAATCCTAACTACTCAAGAGGATTCCAGTTGGAAGCCAAGCCCAGCAGAAAAGTCCATGAGACGTTTATCTCCAATTCACCAGCAAAAAGCTTGAGTTCAAGCACCAGTACTGGCACAAAAATAAAACAACAATATAAATAAATGCAATGATATTTCCCTAGGTCCCACCTGTTTTCCTGAAAGTCTCTTTTTCACTTGCCTGAAATAAAGCAATTATTGGAAGCCAAGACGACGCTGACTTCACAGTGTGTGTACATGGCCCCATGCCTGAAACTGATCCAGTCAGCCTTGATCAACTGGTGCACCATAGTTGGTCTGTTGAATATAGCACAGAAACTCAACAGACTTACAAACAACACTTGTTTCATTTTCTTTCTAATTTCTTAAAATGAGACCTGAATTCAACATTAATAGCAAGCATCTGGAAATTTCTCTTCAGATCAAAATCAGAAGAGATTTGAGGTAGTCTTATGATCCAGCAGCTATGAGTAATGAGTTATGCGATATATAACTGGCATGTACAAATCTCTTCCTATATTTGTTAAACCTTCATTTTTGGTTTTTAGGACCAGGTGGCTACTCCCTAGAAATTGGAAGTCTAGCAGCTATCTACAAACAGCAGATAGAAGGCAATTCACAGTAAGTAGCCTTTGATAACTTGGAATACATACTTTTCTATTTACTAGTGTTAATTTTTACTAAGTTAAAATGCTATCTATCAAAAGGTGAAATTTAAGTTGCTTTTGTTTTTAAATTCTGATGATAAATTCTTTGTGCCAGAAAATATCATGAGGGACATAAAAGTATAACAACTTTATCTCCCACATTGTAATAGCTTATAGGGTGCAGAGGCAGTACAAGTCATCACTGACAATCTTGAGAAATGTTATCTTTTTTTTTTTTTTTCTGTCAGTCATGGGGCTTGAACTCTGGCCTGGGGGCTATCCCTGAGCTCTTCAGCTCAAGGTGAGCACTCTACTGCTTGAGCCCTAGCACCATTTCCATTTTTCTGGTGGTTAATTGTCGATAAGAATCTCACAGACTTTCCTGCCTGGGCTGGTTTTGAACCACAACCATCAGATCTCAGCTTCCTGAGTAGCTAGGATTACAGGCAGGAGCTACCAGCACTCAGCTGAGAAATGTCATGGATCATCTTAATGTCATGGATCACTTTGTCATTCTTATTGCTAATTTTGCTCACCAGGAACTGTGCAGGTGTCTTTAAACTACCTGACTGTAACAGTCTTTTCTGAGGCTGGCATGGGTGTCTTCATTTTACAGAGAGGAAACTAAAGAGGTAAAATATGGAGAGAGTAGGGTTGAAGGTCCATGGTCTTCTTTGATTCCCAGAAGAAAGAGATTTGAAAGAACACAGATTTTGGGGCTTCTACTCAGGAGAAAATTCTCCTTCTGATTGGATAAGTCTTCAGAAACTTCATTGACAAGGGCTGTCATTGTAACAAAATATATTCATGGGGCAAGAGAGGTAAAGTCGCTTGCCCAAATTCACATTGCTGATAAGTGGCAGAACTCAGGGACACAAACAGATCTAAATTAATTTGAAGGAAAACACAGAAAATGCAGAAGAAACACTGACGAGGGAATGAAAGGGGGATTTTTGGAGGGGGGATGGTTTGGGTTTGGTTTTTGTTTTGTTTCTTCAGCAGTTCTAGGGTTTAAACTTATGCTTGAGTTCTGTTATTATTCTTCAAATAGAATCTCATATTTTTTACCTGGGCCAATCTAGACTGTGATCCTCCTATTGATGCCTGCTATGTAGCGGGAACACCAGGTACACACAATCACACCCAGTTTTTACACACCACTTTTTACATGGTTTGGCCTCAAACTGTAATTCACCTGATCACTTTTCATGTAACTGGGATTAAAGGCATGAGCCACTGTGCCCAGCCAGAAAGGTTTATAATGATCAATCTAGGAAGAAACCTGTGACTTAGGGTCAGGGAGGAGAAAACAAAAGACCCATTTGTTTGGCTGCCACGATTTATCCAAATAGGATAGTAAAGGGAAATAGTTATACGGTGATTTTAGATACCGCATTTGCATTCATGACATGGTAAATAAATATCACAGGGTCACTGAAGAAGATCTTGCTAGCGTGAAGCAGGTAGGACTGGAAGCAGAAAAGAGCTCCTGGGGAGCAGATCACAGAAAAGGTCATTTGTGGTGGTTCTTCCTGCTCTGCTGCTGTGCAGATCTAAGCCAGGTCAGCTGGAGACAGAAAGCAAGGGAAATCAGTGTAAGACAGTGAGTCAGGAAGAGTTTCTCAAGTAGACAGGAGTCAGAAAGAACATGAGGGTCAGGTGATGGTGACACTGCTGGTGGAGAGGGGACTGAAGAGGGATGGCTGAGGTTGGGCCATGGAAGACGAGGTCTGTGGAGTCTCACATAGCTGAATAATAGCAATTCCTGGCGGAGGGAGGCTGTGGTTAGAGATGGACTCAACTCCGCAGTCCCTGCATCAGAATCTGGTCCAGTCACTCTCATCCAACCCAAGCTCACCCACAGTGACTGAGAGCAGAGCTTTGTCATCTGACAGAGATGGAGATGTGAAGCAAAATGATTGCTAAAATGATTACAATATTATGCTCATCATTAAAGTATCTCTGTGCCTCGTAAGAGGGTGAACACTTGATAATGAATTAAACATTAGTTATGGAAGAAGGAAGAAGGGCCAATGTTTTCTGTTATCTGAGAGTCCCAACAGCTCTTCCACACCACTGCTTCTACCCCATCCTTAACCATCCAGCTAAGAAATACCTGCCCCAGCCCTGGGATTAACAAATTCCTGCTAAAGGAGGACCTGTGAACTATAGCCTGAGGGCTACCTTAAGAAAGCTGAGTTGGGCCGGGCACCAGTGGCTCGAGATTGTAATCCTAGCTGCTTAGGAGGCTGAGATCTGAGGATCGTGGTCCAGAGCCAACCCAGGCCAGAAGGTCCACGACTGGGGCAAGAAAGAAGGCAAGAAAGAAAGAAAGGAAGGAAGGAAGAAAGAGAAAAGAAAGAGTCGGGAGCTGGTAGAATGTGTAACTCACTGTTTGGTTTGTGTTACAGGGGGAAAGCCAGTAAGAGAGTGGTACCTCCAGCAAGCAGTGTGGACTCCTTCCCTGGCGACTCAGAATATTGTGTTAATCCTTCAGCTCATCAAGTATTGTCAGTTGCTCAAATAGACCTGCAGGCATTCTCTATGCAGACTGGTCAGAACGGACAAGGAAGCCTCCCTCTCCTTTCTACAGCATCTGAGGCGGAGAATCTGAAGCCAGCTTTGCTTGCTGGCCAGCCTGTAGTGTATGTGCCCTCTGCCTCACTGCTCATGCTGTGTGGGAATCTCCAGGAGGGATCAGCCTCAGGACCACTGTCAGAGAGAGATGTCAAGAGCTTGGAAGTCATGGCCAGAGCGGAGTTACCATTGACATCCTCGACGCAGAAGCGCCTCTGTGAGGAGCGGAAGCCCCAGGAAGAGGATGAGCCTGCCAGTAAAAGACAAAGTCAGGAATTTGAAGACAATCCCTTGTCCCTTGTCATGTCCAAGGTAAGGATCTGTGGGTGGCTAAGCCTGGTGATGGCCCATGAGTTCTGAGCTTTTTTGCTATTGTTGTTTGTTTCTTCGAGACCAGGATGAACCCTGGAACCGGAACTTGCTCTTCTTGCCTTAGCCACACTTGCTGAGATTATATGTGTGTGCCACCTGCCCAGTTCAGTCCTGAGCTTAATGAAGATAAACAGATATGAATAAGTGACAAGAGAGTATGTCAATTAATTAAACACTGGACTGGCTTTCCCAAAAATTGTGCCATAAAATAGAATTGGAAGACATGATTTTTAATCAGGAACATACAAAATGCCATTAGTATAAAAAAAGAGAAAAAAATCCATTAACTTAGTGGTAATCACTGCTGTGTGTATGATTCTTTGCAGCTCTTTTTGTGTGTGTGGATTTTTTTTGTTGGTGGTGGTGGTCCTGGGCTCTGTTCCTGAGCTCTTTTGCTCAAGGGTAGCATTCTACCACTTGGAGCCACAGCACCACTTCCGGATTTCTAGTGGTGAATGGAGATAAGAGTCTCACAGACTTTCCTGCCCACACTGGCTTCGAATGGTGGTTCTCAGAGCTCAGCCTCCTGAGTAATTAGGATTACAGGTGTGAGCTACCTGGCAAAGATGAAGTTTTTAAGATGTAGCTTTTCCCAGGGATACTCAAAGGCCCTTGTGAGGAGAGAATCCTACACTAAGCTTTAAGTTCTGCTCACTCCTTTGTCTTTCTCCTATGTAAGACATCACATGCTTTGTTGCGCGGGACTGCATTTATATTTCCTAAATTCACTTTCTTTGTAAAACAGTAGGAGTAAGAGCTTAGTGACATACAGAAGAGCTCTATTAAGGAAATGTTAATTTGCTTTCTTGTTTCATTCAAACCTTGACTGAGGCATATCTTCCCAGGCTAGGCTGTTGGTCTAAAAGTCAGCATTCTGGGAACTTAATATCAAAATATCACTCGGCTTGTATATTTTTTAAGAAAAAAAATATAGTTGGGAATCTGAAATAATTACCGCAGCCCAGAATGCAGCTGAGTGGAGTTCGGAATGTGATACTATTGGTTGACCACCTGCATTCCCAGTTCCCTAGCTACCAAGCAAGCTGAACAAAAGTACAAACCATCCACCTCTTCCTTAGTAGCCATGCCAGGGTGAATGGTTTCTGACCAGTAGGACTGTCAGAAAACAGTGGTGCTGTCTTTACAGCCGTTTGCATGAGTCATTGCACAGGTGGCAGTCATTCCTTAAGAACTTGACGCTCAGGGCCTTGATCTTGCCACAGTAAATTCTTTTAATTTTCTAGATCAGAAAGTTGCAGATCAGAAGTGAGAGATCGGTCAGCGTTATGTCCTAAACAATCAAGAGAGCTTTGAACTCATCCACAGTTCTTAGAAGTTGTCCCAAATACTGTATCACCAGCACCCTTTGTATGTTCCCAGCTCCAAAACTTATTTTCATGGTCTGAACAACATTGCCAGGTTTGCAGTTTCTAGTGTGTCAATACTTAGTGATTGTAAGCCTGAGGATACACGTTGCATGACTTTCGTAATTGTGCTGTTGCTCAGAAGGAGCAACATTTACAAATCAGCATCACCCATGGCTGGGTTTTATTCTAATAAGGGCTGTTCTTACGTGGACTCCTGGGATTTATGCTTGCTTCTCTGCTTTCCGGTTTGGTTGTGCTTAGAAACCCTCAGATTCCACAGACCTTGACTCTATGAAGAGCATGGGGAGCAAAGGATTCACACCCCTGGAAGACCTTCCTGTGATTGCTCAGTTCCCCGCTGCAGAAGGCATTTCAGGAAGGGCTGATGCAAACTCCTTTACTTCCTCTGAATGTGAAAATCCTTTGAGAAACACAGACCCTGAAAACCTCTCAAAAGAAAACGAAAGTGCCAAAGAGTCCCCCTCCTTACAGTATCTCTACGTTCAATCACCAGCCGGTAAGTTGGTATCACCCTGTCTCAGAGTCCCTGTAATACTTAGATCATAATTTGAGTTTTTACATTTTTGTCTGTCACCTCTCCAAAGAAAGCTGTGAGTTGATATGCTGTTCCTCATGACCTCTGCTTCAGTGGACTTGCAGCCTGGTTTTTACCCCTCTCTATAAAAATGAGAGGTGACACAACTGGCCACATTAAATGTGGCCAAGCTCCAGTGGCTCAGGCCTCTAGTCCTAGCTCCTCAGGAGATTAAGATCTGAAAATCATGTTTCAAAGCCAGTCAGGACAGGAAAGTCCATGAGACTCTTACCTCCAAGTAACTGGCAAAAGGCCAGAAGTAGAGCTATGGCTTAAGTGGTAGAGCCTTGCACAACAAAGCTAAGGGACAATGCTCCAACACCAGCACACACAAAAAAGAACCCTCCACAGGAATCAATCACATGGTCGTGGAGGTAAATACCAGGGTACCGTCTACCCTATAATGTGAAGGAGAAGGAGCCTTGTGGGCTGAAAGCACAGAAAGGAGGTGTTTGATCTGGTCGGGTGGGAGAAGGTTCTATCATTCGTTGCTATGTCTGGTCTCCCATTGGAATAAGTCGCCAGGAGATAAGTGTGAATGAGATCTTTGTGTTGCACTCACGTTCCCATTCTTCTGCTTCTGTTCCAGGATTAAATGGTTTCAATGTGCTCTTACCCGGCAGTCAAACCCCACATGTCGTGGGACCATCCTCAGGTCAGCTGCCGTCCTTCAGTGTTCCTTGCATGGTCCTTCCGTCTCCAACCCTGGGCCCGTTTCCTGTTCTCTATTCTCCTGCAATGCCAGGATCTGTTTCATCTGCTTCCGGCACTCTCCCAAACACAGGACCTGTCAATTTCAGCTTGCCTGGCCTTGGATCCACAGCTCATCTTCTCATCAGCCCTCCAGCCGTGGTTAATCAAAAGTCATCCGGGCTCCCACCTGCAGACCCTCAGCTTCAGGGTCAGCCCTCACTGAACCAGAGTCCAGTGGTGTCAAGGTCAAACAGCAGCATCCAGTCTGAGTCATCTGCCTACACAGGACATCCAGTCTCTGTAGTGAAACCAGAACAGGTGAGGCCTGAAGGCTGCATCCCTGTGCGCTGGGAAGTACCTGCCTCCTGTTCACGTACCTGTTACATGACTATAGGACAGAGGTATTTACTATTTAACATTTGACCAGAGAGGGTGAGTATTAGCAGATGAGCTAAAAGGACCACACGTATAAGAGTTTCTGTTGGTTTTACATGCTCTTAAAGTCCTTCATAAAGATTTAATTCTGACAGCCCTCGGAGTGTGGTATTTATACTGGAATTGGGTATTTATTTCCACCATTCTGTCACACAGATGGGATATATCGGTTAGTTGATTTGCCCACGTTCGCACAGCTACTGCTGAGAGCCCAGATCCTGGCCTCTAGACTATTGTTGCATTTGTCACCACCTTTTTGTCCACAAAAATCAACATGAGTTTAACTCATGGTGTTAAAGCATAGGAAGACAAATGGGATAGTGTAATAGGAAAGCCAAAAGACACACACCTGCACGGGGCCCAGAATATCAGAGCCATCATAGATGTCCTACTCAGACCCTGACACGGGTGGATTTCACTTCTGGTTTTTGCTCTCTTTATTTAGTCCCCTGCTCCGGCGACACCCAAGAGCATCCGCTGTACACATCAGGAGGCATTTTTCAAGACCCCTGGCAGCCTTGGAGACCCCATCCTTAAGAGAAAAGAAAAGAACCAGTCTCGAAACAACAGCTCAGCCCAGAGGAGACTAGAAATCCCCAGCAGTGGGCCTGACTAAGCTGATGCTCCGGCAGGTGGCGGTCGGATGTCAACCACACGGTCCTCAGCTTGTATTGTTGCTCTCTCTTTTATCCACCAGTTCTACTAACTTCCCAACATCATGAATCGTCTGTTTTCCTGAAAAATCATGATTCTTAATTATGTACTGAATACCCGCTAGAGTTCAGCCTCTGTCTGGTGTCACAGGGACAGCGCTGGCTGACCAGTGCGGTTTAGATTCCAGAATCGGACTGCTGGCAATAGATCTGAACAGGTAGCTGGAGCCTTGTGGTTTTGCTGAAGGAGGGGGCAGGGGGCTCTATTTAGCACTTAACCACGGTGAGCCTTTCTGATGTGAATTTCCACTTGCCCTGAGCTACATCTGTGGTGAGAGAGCATTCTGCAGTTTAAAAAAAAGAAAAAAGAAAAAAAAAAAAAGCTACTGTTTCCTTTGGCTTCATTAGGAAGCCACCTTCAGTTATGAATCCTATGGTATTATTTATTTTGTTCCTGAAATGGGATTTCGTGCAAAAAAACAAAACAAAACAAAAAAACAACTAAAGTTTACAACTACAGCCTAACACACAATTTTCTTTCAGGGTATGACGACTTGAATGTTGATAACTTGTCTGTATAATTTGCCCTGCACTTATTCTACTACCAAGTAACAATGTGGAGACATGTATATACATGGTAATATCAAGACCAAAATAACTGTGAATGCCACACCTGGCTATCGAGAAACTGTGTTAACCCTATCTATGGGCTATCTGATAAACCCTAGAGCCTAGGGGCTCTGCCAGTCACTGAAAACAGTAGGGTTTTACTTGTGTGTTTGAAAAACTCCTTCTGTGTTCAGTTTCCTTTATGACATGCCCTGTGTTCTTTATTTAAATGTTAACTGTAGCATACCGGGTATGGAATGCCTTCTAATAATAGCTATATATAAAATGAATCCAAATGGTGGAGAGTAATTATATGGAAAATTGGAATCTGGATGAGACCTTCTTGGTGGAATTCTGAAGAATAACAGTGTAGAAATAAATAGAGAGCGTTAGGTAATCTCTTCTTTCTCTTTTCTTCATGTGTTTAAAGGGAAGAGGGATAATGGACACAGTACTTCCTATTTCTGAGTATTCAAACCATAGTTGTGAGGTGCTCCCCCCCAAATTAAAACGGTATATAGGGTGGTTGGTGGTTGTACCATAATTAAAATTCCAGAAACTGTTACACAGTATCACTGTGTATGGCATGTCATTTGAGGGCTTCACTAGGGAACCAAACTAGTTCTTTATATTCTACATCTAGTGTTATTTATACTTACTCTTTTTTTTGTGGGGCTTGAACTCAGGGCCTGGAAGCTGTCACTGAACTCTCTTGCTCAAGGTTAGTGCTCTACCACTTTGAGGCAGAGCTCCACTTCCAGTTTTTGAGTGGTTAATTGGACATAAGAGCCTCATTGGGACTTTTCTGCCTGGGTTGGCTTTGAACTGTCATCCTCAGATCTCAGCTTCTTGAGTATTTAGGATTATAGGTATGAGCCACTGTGCCTGGCTAATTATATTCATTCCTGTCTTGCAAATAAAACACATCCCTTCCTTCCTTTTCTTCTTTTTTTTTCTGATTTCTCTCTCTTTTAAACTTATTTCCTAGATAGAATCTTAGTGTAGTACTGTTTTTTCCTATTTTTATACCCAATAAAATGTTATGGGAAAAAATGAAAAATATTAATTTAAGAGACTCTGGGAGTCTGAGTAAAGTAGCTTTATATTAACCACAGGATACAATTAGCCTTACTCCCGTGGGAAGATTTTGTTTTGAAAACTTGAGATAAGTAGCCAGATGAAGTATGTGTGCTACTTAGATCAATTTTTTTAATCAACACTAAACTTTGAAGTTTACAAGATGGTATTTTTTCTGCCTTAAAAATCTTTCTCTAGAGTTAGATTAAAAATGTGCTTCTAACCACCATCAATTGCATGGAAATGATTACCTTGAACTAATATTGATGGGTTTCTTATCAAAAATAAAAATATGACTTTTTCAGGTCGACCAAGGCTATGCAGCATGTAAATCTGGTCAGGGTATGTGCATTTAAATCATGTTGAAGAACTTGCACAAAATACTTCACTGAGAAATCTGCATTTAGATGGAAATATAAATTGATTTTTCCTTTCCCTGTTCCTAGATCTTTTCCACTTGCTTTTTTTGTTGGTTTTTGTTGGGTTTTTTTTTTGTTTGTTTGCCTATCCTCCCTTGTTTGTATTATTAGTATTATTCTGTTCGTGATTAGCCTTTGAGAATGTGTAGTTCTTGAGAGGTGTTAAGAACAATCCCATAAATGAGCATTGTATAAATTTATGACCACACGTAGCAGCAAAAAAAAAAAACTAAGAAAATTTCCTTTTGTGGTCAGTTACCCTCCCAATGTGATTTTATATGGAAAAGTAAAATCATCAGTGATCATTTCTGGGAGAAAAGCAAATCTTTCTTAAGAAACTCTCAGCAGTTGCTGAGCTAGAATGAAATATTTGGGGTAGGAAAGAAGCAATGGCAATCGGGAGCCTCAACATTGTATAATTATAGTGAAAGGAAAATAACGAATTGTTGGTGATTCTGCTTAGGAAATGCAGCTATGAGTCGGCACTGGGGGGGAGGGGAAAGTGCGCCCTCTACTGTCCAGTGTTTGTGAAACTTCATTCTGGTACAACAGTTGGGGGTATAACTTTTATACTTGAATCTACCTACCAAGTTTACATTACTCAACTTCCTTTTTGTAAGGTGCTATTTCTGTATTTAAATAACTTCAATGTAAAGCTGCTTTCTGCTTATCCTGTTGCACTGCTAGATCTATGTAGGTATTAATTTTATTGCTGCTTACTGCTTTCGTTCGCATATTATTTTAGCTCTGCTCTTTTTCCTAATGGCTATTACCTATAGCTACCTGCTTGTAACTTTACTGCATGTAAACCAGTTTTTTTTCTTTTAGAAAAGCATTAAGCTTTATAAATTAGTAATAAAAATAAAAGTGTTTAATAAGAAATGTTCCGTTTCTCAATGGGGCAGAGGGGAATGGTACAGTGGCATTTCTTGATTTTATTTATTTTTGCTACTGGTTACAGTAAAACCATAACCATCTGGCATACTAGCCAGAACCCCCTAAACCCACCAGATTATCATGGTTCCCACGTGTCACAATATATTGCAATGACATGGGAGCTGGAAAGGTCAAGGAACGCTGCCATTGGACTTTCAATGTATACTGAGTTCATTTGTATACATTTAGAGCTTCCAGATGAGACTGCTGCGTATGCAATGTGAGAATCACCTCTGAATGCAGACTGCCTACCCAGCTTCCAGTATCCATGAAGTTCAGTGCTTCTCTGAACCAGCAAGTACTGGTAATTCAAAGCCAAGTTCTGTGGGTCATCAGACTTGATCTGATTCTCCCTAGCTCTTTCTTCATCCAGAGAATGTTCCATACTGCAGTGTGGCCAGATTGAGGTGAGACCGGCAGGTGTCTGCTGGCTCCTATGGGTCACTCTCCAGATGTCTCATCTGGGAACATATGCCCGAGCTTCCCGAGATGCAGACAACACATGTCTGTCCCACTGATGCCTTTCCGGTGCCACTGGATTTCCTGCAGTCCACACGCTTGGGCAGGATTTGGAAAACCCCGTAGGCTGAGTCCTATTAGTCTGCATCCAGTAGCCTTTGCCCTCATTCTAAGAAAATCCAACTAGACTTACCAGCCTCTGCTCCCCAAACTGATCTACCTAACCCCCAGGCAAGTGAGATACACTTCCTGCTGCAGGAAAGAGGCAAGAGCAAGCAATGCCCAAACACTTGGCCCTTGTTCTGCAGAGTGGCAGAGGTAAGCAGTAAACATAGTTCCAAAGAAAACCTCGCTAAACCCACTCATCTGTTTCCTCAATTATTTCATGGCCATGTTGTGGGTGAGTGACAGTGTTCAATAGTTATGCAATTGATTTTACGACCTTCGTGCTGCAAAGTCCACATTTGGCCCACAGCATTTACTATACTGAGTACTGCAGTCAAGGTCACCATTTATGGCCTGCTACAGTAGTTAAAAGCATCCATCATCCAGGACCTCCAAATGCCTAAGTGACCTGTATGGTCATTCATCTGTCCTCTCATGTTTTGATAGCTGTTTTGTAATGTTAAGATCAGTTTTGATTAATTCAATGTCTTTTCTGACCTGAGAATGTTTCCAAAGTTAAGAAATAGTGCCTGACACTAGAGCACTTCATTCTCTCACACTGAGAGCCATTGTGAATAGCCCACTGGTAGGCTTCAGTCTGATGAACTCTTCCCCAGATGTGCTCCAAGAGACTCAGCTGTTCATGGCCAGTAAGAACAAAACGAGGAGCCCACCTACTTGTAAGGACCACATGTTGAAGCAAACTGGGATTTAAAAAAAATTTCAAGACTTCATCTCAACCAATACAAACAACTTTCCCACAGCATTTTATAAGACTACAGTTCAGCAGAACTTACTTGGAGAAGCAATGAATTAACCCAACACACTTCTGAGAATCAGTGCCATTGTATGGAAAGAATGATCTCCATACTGGGAGATTTCTCCAAGGCACAAACTAAGTTTTTCTCCTGCAGGGCTCAGGACTGCTCTGCGGGTACAAGAACAAAATGCCAACCCAACCAACCTGAAGACACATAGCACCTGTGCTACAGAAGTACTGTTCTTTCATGCAATGGCAACATAGAGTCATAAACAGTCAACAGGATTGGCATGGCCCTCCCCATGTCCCTATCCTGGCAAAGTGGTGTGAATTATTTACTCAATAAATGTTTACTGTTTTGATGCAGAGGTAGTCTTGGAGATGAAGGCATGTTACTCTCCTTTCCTCACTGATAATGGTAAAGAATTACAGAAATTTAGTTCCTAAAGGAACCTGGAAGATGATACCTACTTCACAGAGAAATAGAAACAAGGAGCTTAGGTGAATTGCCTGGATTCCGTGTGATTTAACTAAAAAGATGAAATCAGAGCTCACCACCTCCTCTTCCATGCCAACAAACACACCAGGTGCCCTCTACCACTGACCAAGGAAAGGCAAATTGTTTGCATAAACTTTGAAGGAGTGGCTCATACAAATCTATCCTGACAAGGTTTCCATACAACTATCCAGATTGGATTAATGTGGATACGTCACACTTGGGCATATAGAAGTAGAATGCCTTTTTCTTGACATGAACCATTATGATATTTGTAACACTATGGTCATATACCGACAGATGGACCCCAGGCAGCCCATGAGAACCATTATGTGTCAGTCTCATCATGTACTGAGTGATTTCTCTGGAATTATATAGCCTGAGTACTAGTCATTTACCACCTAAGACAACATGTAAGCTGAATTATGCAAGCAGTCTTAACATATGAACTTGGAAGACGAATGAAATATCACCCGGTACAAGAAGTATATTGGCAGAAGACATTTTAGACCAAAAGAGTGAAGATGGCTTAAAGCCGTAGATTTTAATTGCAACTGTTCTATGACTCTTAAAATAGTTGTCCAAATATTTGACAACTCTCTTACTATTGGCTTTAAATGTTTAGGAAAATGAAAAACAATAAAACTAATATTTAGCATTTATAGTATATAATTTTAAACTTTGGATTAAAATGTTTGAATTGCTTTGTTAAAATAAAAAAAAAAGTAGATTGAGGCTGGGTGCTGGTGGATCATGCCTGTAACCCCAGCTACTTAGGAAACGGATCTGAGGATTGCGGTTCAAAGACAGCCCAGGAAGGAAAGTCCATGAGATTCTTATCTCCAGGTAGCCATCAAAAAGCTGGAAGTGGAGCTGTGGCTCAAGTGGTAGAGAATTAGCCTTGGGCACCAGAGCTCTGGGTCAGCACGTAGGCCCTGAGACCAGCACACATGCATGCAAACACACACACACACACACACACACACACACAGTAGATTGAGGAGCACCTACTTTCCTACCATATAACTTAAAATATGTTTTGAGCATCTGGACTAGCTAGCATTACAGGCCTGAGTCATCAGTACAAAGCTCCAGATTCTGTGTTAGTGCATATAAGTATTCACTGTCGAATTTTCATTAAGAAATTTGCATACCTGTATATAATAATTCAGTGTGAAGTTCTGCAGGCTTCACTTCCTTTGGGGGCATGCTCACATCCTTTTCATCATGACAACTTTCCTAGCTTAGGCTAGTCAGTGTCACTCTTTTCAGAACCATAGTCAGATGATGGCAGAGTAAACATCCCCCACTGTGTTAGAAAATTATTTGTGGCTTTGACTGAAATACCTAAGAAAGGTAATTAAAGGGAAGAAGAATTTATTTTGACCCACAATCTCAGAGCCTCATCACTCTGGGCTGGAAGTGAGGCAGTACTTCATAGTGGCAAATGCACGTGGAGAAAGCTACTCACCTCATGGTGACCAGGAAGCAAAGAGAGATACAGGAATGAGTCAGGGCAAGATATAGCCCCAAGGAGAAAGCCCTAGTGGCCTACAAATCTCCAGCTAGGCCCCAACACCTTGGAAAATAATGCTACCATATGTTAGCATGATTTCCTGTGGGGTCTATTTCAAATTCAAGCCATAGAAGTCACCATTATCTATTTCTACTTAAGAACTGCATCTATGCGGAAGTCCAATTTAATTTCCAATATTAGCACGTTGTATTCTGTTTCCCTTTCATCTGCACTGATTTATCAGTATTAATGAATTGATCAATTCATCATTCACTCTCTGCCTCCTTCATCCTATTAACTGAGTGTGTGTTATTATCACGGGGAAGCAAAGAGACAACGTGACTCCACGCTTTTCTATCTGTGACTGTCGGGACAGATTATGTGTATGCACACAGACTGGGAAAGAAATGAAGAGAAGTGACTGGTCACTGATCATGGTGGATATCACTTCTTTATATAGTGGTTAGTGGGCTAACGCAGTTAAATGTGTACTTTATGCAGTGCCTCAGAGTTAATATAGTATACCACAGTAACTGAAATGTGAACCAGATGCTTGAAGAACCGATTTTGTTTGACTAAATCACAATCGCTGACATGCACGCATATCCTAACTAGGCAAAGCAAGGGCTTTTTCTTATTCCCTATACATTGTGTGATAGACTTGCAATTAATTTCCATTTGGGGCAGAAAGCAATCTCAGTCAGTTCAGTGTATCAACCATTTCAGTCCCTATTTCTCACAAACGTTCCCAGCACTCTGTAAAAGTAGTTGGAGCACTTTTAGTGGCAAGTATTTAAGTGCATGATGCAAGCAGGCTTACACAGCAAGGGGCCCTGTTGGCTTACATAACTAAAGCCCAGAGGCAGGACAAAGCTTCCAGCTCATGCTCACATGGATCCCTTTGGTTCTGCCTGACTGGGTATGCCAGTGTTATCCACAAAGGTCAACAACAACGAAAAGGGCTCTTCAGAGGTCTGCTAGAAGAGCAAGAAAGAACATTCCCCCCCTAGTCCCCATCAGCCAGAATTGGCATACACATTTGCCATAGCTTAAATGTGGGTCGTGTCACCCAAAGTTCCATAGATTAAGAGTTGATCTCAGGGAAGCACCATTGGGAGGTGGGAGACTCTTGGGGAGGTGTGGCTTAATTAGAGGTCTTTCAGGGTTTTTGAGGGGGGGAGGGATGCCTTTGAACAGATTGTGGGCAGTCCCTGTCCTTCCGTCTTTTGGCTCCAGTTATGAGCTTTTCTTCTTACACATCCTCTGCTGTCCTCCCCGGAACAGAGCTGATGCAGGTATCATGCCTTTGAACCTCCAAACCTATAGCTAAATAAACTTTTTTCTCTTTATAAGTTAGTTACCTTAGATATGTTGTTGTAATAACTAACGTCTGACAGCCATAATAGTTATTTCTAGACCATCCGGTCTAGATGGATTTGTCATTTCCATTTAGAACTGTCCATGGAAATGAAGTACCCAGGCTTTGAAGGAGGGAGTGACCCCTGAACAAAATTCAGGCTCAAAATAGGAAAAGCAAGGACTTCATGCTGGAATTCATACAGCCCCCATGTGAATATGCCCGAAATGACAGGGCAGCTCCTTACAGGCAAGTGAAATGGGGTTTTACCCTTACAAACCGTCATCAGATGAGAGATACATTTCCTTTAGCTCTTTGGTTCCTTTTTTTTGTTTTGGGGTGTGTGTGTGTGTGTGTGTGTGTGTGTGTGTGTGTGTGTGTGTATACAGGTCTTGGAGATTGAACTCATGACCTGAACACTGTTCCTGAGATGCTTTTACGCAAGGCTAGTGTTTTGCTGCTACTGTATTTATTGATACATAGGTCATAGTAAGTGGGTAGAACATCATGCATACATGTCTCTGTAACAAAATGTTTAAATTGAGATAAATTATAATTTTTATGGAACTAATACTTTATTTGGAGATCTACCTCTTAGAAAGCTGAGATATTAAAAAATAGCTTACCAATCCATGATGGATATTCATTATTGTTAGTTTGTGACAGGGTTTCAGCTCAATACACCCACATTTTTCATTTTCTAGTGATAAATCTCAAGAAATTGCAATTGCAGAAATAAAGAGCCCTGGGAAAGGAAGGAATTTTCTTAGGCAATGCTAACTCTGTTTTGAACAATTTCTAAATTTCTTGTAGAAATCTTTTTTATGGTTGACACTATTGTTATTAGCTTTTCCATAATTGGAAAGAAAAGATTCTAGAGAAATATCAAAAACAGCTCTGAGAATCCAGTCATTACTATATATAATAAGGCAGGTACAATATATTCACATTCATAAAGGTACAATATATTTACATTCACAGTGCTGTCTTTCATATGTAACATGAAATTATCTTGGAGGGTGAAGGGAAAGGAGAAAAATGAGGGAAGGGTTGACAAGAAATATACTTCTTGCCCTACTTATGTAACTGTAACACCTCTGTACATCACCTTGACAATAAAAAATAAATAATTATCTGACACTTAATTCTACTTTTCCAGCAGAGTATCTATAAAGAATGATTAAAATCCAACTCTGCCAAGAAACACTTTCTTAGATAGGATTACCCTTTAACAGTGACACAATACTTGATGGAAGTACTTGTTCTGTTCAAAAGTATCAGATAAAATGAAAAAGAAAACATTTAAAATGCAGAAATAAACCCACCCACAAAGGAGAGCCCTACAACCACTGGATTCATACCAAGATGACATTAAAGGAAAACAACTAACTAGCATTTTAACAAGTCCGTCATGTTTGAATGGAAAGAGCCCCCCTAAAAGAAAGCAGAGGCCATGTAGTATTTGAAAGCTTCAGACCACAATCAAATCCCATCACTTCTAACAGAGCTGTAGCTGGGTGCTGCTCATTTGGATATGTTCAAGGATACTGAC